TAAAATTGTGTTTTTTTCCCTCCACACCTGAACATTTAGGAGAAAATCTTTCATTGCTCTACACTCCAGATTCTTGCGCATTGAATATATATTTGAGTTTTCGGATTGGCAGAATCAGAAGGGACTGTATTTAAACAATAATTCTTTATTTAACTTTACTCAACTGATTTCCTCCAAGAAAAGACTGAGAGTCTCCTACATCTTCCTTTTAAAAATCAGGTAAATACTTGAAAAAGTATAATAATGAGACTTTTTTTTGTTGTTATATGTTTCCTGACAAATTTTGCCACTCTGGATTACCAGTACAGAACACATGGGATATCGTAGAATGAAAATGATGCATGAGTGTTTTAAATAAAGACAGAAATATTCGAAAGTTTATTTCAATATTATCATCATAAGAAACAAACTGTTGTTTTTGCTCTGACAAGTCATCTCCTCCTCTCAGTTTTCCATTATAATTCCTGATAAAAGACACACCATTTAACTTTAAAATTTAACTTCCAATAGTCCCCCAGGGGAAATGTAACTTAAATGCTTCCTAATACACAGTCTGCAAGTTTACACGTGTTATTTATTCAAACGTTTCTTCAGTTGTTCTAGATGCCTTGTATCAGCATCCTGGAGGACTAACACAGTCCTTTTAGACTCAAATGGATCAAACTCAATAGTCATCAAACAACAGAGGTCTATCAGTTGTTTTTGACATTCCTTTAAACCATCCCTAAGCTTTAGACGTAAAGCTGGATCCTTTTTCAGCTTATTCATTTCAGCCACCGAAAAGCCAATCAAGCTTGTTAGAATATCATCAGCAAAATCTACTTCAAGATAAGCAGAACCATCAGAAATTTTTGCCTTTATACCCCAGGACCCATTGCTGTTTGTGAGGTTTCCAGTGAGAGTAACAATAAAACACTTAACTTTCAGAATTGTAACAGTTTCTGGTTTTTTTGCAAGGAGAAGAGAAATATATGTGAAAGGTGAAGAATTTAAATCTAAATGTGGCTCTACTGCTCTGCAAGGAAAGGTCTGTGAATCATGCTTCTGCTGAACTGTTTCTGGATCTGTTTTTGAGAAAAATACAGGATCACCATTTAACACACTGTGGTCAGAAGTCTGCTGGGATTTACATCTCCTTTCATCTAAGTCTGTATCATTCTGCCCTTCTTCAGGAGGATTTTCCAAAGAAAAATCTGAAGAACTGCAGGTCTGATGTACGCTTCTGTGCTGCAAAAAGCTATTCATGCTATTTCCACGTTCATCAAATATTGTTTTTCCAAAATTCTTTTCCTTGCTGATAGCTTCCATAGGTTTATCTCTTTCACTCACATCACTTTTTTCACACATGCCATTTAAAGACAAATCGCATGATCTTCTAAGTGTGTGTGGAAGTCTTTCAGTAATTAAACCTGTGTTTCTGTTCATGACCACTGGTGTCACTTCATCCAGTTCTATTTGCATCTCTTCTTCCAGAAGAAAGTCATCTTCTAAAGGAAAGTCATTTAAAAAGCCATCAGCATATTCTATGGGAGGCGAAACTTGTTCAACTGAAGGAGGAAAAGGGCTTCCAGATTTCTCTATCAAAACATTTCCATTGTGTACAGTCAGTGAACCTGAGGCTGTACTAAAATTGTTGCTTTTGCTGCAATATCCGCTTTCTAAAGATGTTCCATTGTTTAAAGTAAATTCATTATTTTCATCAAGACCGGCTAAAAGCTCTTCATCTGAAGGGCCAAGAGATTGTTCTGATTCATCGACAGGCCTGGAAAAAATCTGTTCATGACCAGCTTGTCCAACAGAATTACAGTTTTCAGTTTCTCCAATTAATCTAGCAAGGACTCTTTCCTGAGAATAATCCTCAAGAAGAGCATCCACTTCACCCCCCAACAGTTTCACATTTTCTGGTTTAAGCAGAAGGACTCCAAGACGATATGCAATATTACCCTGTACAGTGATTTTTGTTCCAGGAGGAAGATTACTGCACAGGACAGGCACTGGTTGATATTCCATGCCCTGAATTTGATGTATTCCATCAGTTAGTTGTAGCATCAGCATTCGAGTAGGCTTTGCTTCCCAGGGCTTCTGAAATGCCTGAGTACTGGCTGTTACTTCTTCATTTACGGTGCTTTTCCCTCTTAGCTTCTGCAACTGAGAATATGCTGGCTGGCTAACATCAACCAGTGAATCAATCTGTATGGAGTAGAAGCCTGACAACTCTCCTTTGGGAGCATTCAAGATGCAGTCAGGCAAAATGGGATATTCCAAGTCTCTTAGATCGGTAAGAAGCCATTGCTCAAATACTTGCTTGTTAATCTGAGCTTGACTTAAATTACTACCACTATTTTCCTCCTGGATCCAATTAATACATGCTTCCAGCCATGTCAAAGGAACTTTAATATGCCATGTGGATGAAAGCCAGGTTTCCACTCTTGCTGCAATGTTAGATGTAGACATTTTCTTTTATAGTAATAGTGAATTCCCTAAAACAGAATTCAAAAAGACATATTTACTCTTCTGACAAAAGCTGAAATTATGACAAGTCTCATGCTCATGTTATATAGAAATTTTAAATTAAAAACATTCTACAGACACTAAAACTCACATGCATTTCCAATATTTAATACTTCAATCAGCTTAAAAATTATGTGCAATTAGCTGGAAGTGTGTGCAAAATATCGGGGAAGGACGGAGATTTATATAAGCAACCGTGCTTAGTGACTTCTTTTCTGTTGATTTAATTAGAAACATACAACTGAAATTGATTTCTTGTGGATGGAAAGTGGATAAAAAACCCAAACCAAAAGAAAGTAAATTGTTTAATATATATTCTGTACTTTTTACTGCTTCAATTCTGTGGGTGTTGCTGCTAACACTCAGTTTACTTTAGAAATTGACCTGAATCCCACTTCACCAGCACTGTTATGAACAGAAGTAAGAGACACTACAGAACCAAGCTGGGGTTTATTAGCACTTGTATAGAGGGGTGACTTTCAGTCTGCAACTGGATGAAAGCTTTTACCCTACAACAGAAAGCTAGCTTGAAACATTGTTATCCGGAGATTCCATCCAGGGTTTGGCTGCAACACTACCAAGTCTTGGCAACTATCATATTAGAGACATAAGTGGCTAATAAGCTCTAGCTTTTTGTTAGTTCAGGAAGTAGGTAAGCACAAACAGAAGTATTTCAGTCGGAAGGGACTTAGAACAATCATCTAGTCCAATGACCTGATCAATTCAGGGCTGATCAAAAGTTAAAACACATTATTAAGGCTGTTGTCCAGATGCATCTTAAACACTGATAGGTTTGCGGCATCAGCCACCTCTCCAGGAAGCCTGTTCCTATATTTGAGAACCCTCTTGCAGTCATAGAATCATTCAGGTTGGAAAAGACCTCCAAGATCGTTATGTCTTACCCTTGACTGAACACCATCATGTCAACTAGATCACGGTACTAAGTGCCACATCCAGTCATTTCTTGAACACTCCTAGGGATGCTGATGCCATCACCTCCCTGGGCAGGCTGTTCCAATGTTTAAATACCCTTACAGTGAAAAAATTCTTCCTGATGTCCAACCTGAACCTCTCTTGGTACAGCTTGAGTCTGTGTCCTCAAAGAGACTGATCCCCACCTTGCTACAACCTCCTTTCAGGTAGTTGCGGAGAGCAATAAGGTCTCCCCTTGGTCTCCTTTTCTCCAGCCCTGCTCCCTCAGCCGCTTCTTGCATGATTTACTCTCTGGACCTTTCACCAACTTCTTTGCCCTTGGTAAAGAAATTATGCCTATTGTCAAGTCTGAACCTCCCCTAATGTTTGAAACATTCCCAGGTGTCCTGTCACCGATTCCCCGGAAAAGACCAGCACCTCCCTCTCCACATCTCTCCTCAGGAAGCTGTACAGAGCAATGAGGTCACCCCTCAGCCCCTTCTCTCCAAACTACACAACCCTGTGCCCTCCTGTGGACCATTCAAGGACCTTCACGTCCTTCTCAAACTGAGAAGGGGCCCAGCGCTGCACACAGGACTCAGGGTGAGGCCACACCACGGCTGAGTACAGCGGGATGATCCGCTTTTGGCAGCTGCTGATGCTGTGTCTGATGCACCCCAGGATGGGGTTTGCCCTCCTGGCTGCCCGGGCACACTGCTGACTCACACTGAGCTGCTGCCCACCAGCACCCCCAGATCCCTCTGTAGGGTGTAGTGGCTGCTCTCCAGACACTCCTCTCCCAGTTTATACTTGTGTCCAGCAGTACTCCATCCCAGGGGCAGAATCTGGTATTTGTTCTTGTTGAATTTAGTGCCATTGACAATTGCCCAGTGTTCCAATCCACGCAGATGCTTCTGCAAAGCTCTTGTCCCTCGAAAGAGTCAACAGGGTCTTCCAATCTGGTATCAACAACGCACCTGCAGTGCATTTAACTCCTGCATCCAGATCACTGATACAAACATTAAAAAGATATAAGGCTGCCTAACTGTGCCTGGATCATGTTCAATCTCTTAGAAAGGGCGATCGAGGAGTTCAGCAGACCACACAGAAAACAAGCAGTATCGTAAGAATATTTAAGGAGCACCAGGTTTGGTTGGTTTTTTGCACAAGCTTTCAGCAGGTGACAGGGGGGAGGGAGGGAGAGGAATAGAGGCGGGAAGAGGTGGTGGGGTCGCTCCCCACAGCCCCCGGCGCGGAGCCCCCAACTCACCGTTCCCGGGGCTCCCTGGCGGCCTGCGCGCCACACAAACGCCGCGCGCACTGACAGCCAATGGGAGGAGGGCATCCAATCATCGCGAGAGTTTCGCTGTCGCCGGCGCCGAGCGGCGCGCACAAGGCGGGGTTTTGGCAGCCGCCATTTTCTCGCTCTCCGGCAGTCGCCGCTCCCGTTCTCCTGGGCCGCCCTCCGCTGCCCGCGCCGCTGACAGCGCGCTCCCGCCGCTCAGGTAGGAGAGCCTGGCCGGCCGCGGCGCAGGTCTGACGGCGCCGCCTTCCCCCGGGCTCGTCTGGCCCTGTCCCTCACGGAGGGCGGGGCGGGGCGGGGCGCCGCCCCCCCGGTGCTGACAGGCAGCGGCCTCATCCAATGGGGCGGCGGCGGCGCCTCTCGGGAAGGGCGGCGGAGCCAATCGCAGGTGGTGTGCGCGTCGGCGGCCGCGGTTGCTGTCTTTTCTCTCTCGTGCGCGGAGTGGCCGGCGGCACGCGCAGGTATGCGTACCCGCGGCGCAGTGTGGCCGAGGCGGGCGAGGAGGAGGAGAGGGCGGGAGGAGGGTGCAGGCCGATCCGGGCCCCTCCTAGGCCGTCAGAGCTGCCGCCGGGTCCCGCTCGGCGCCGCTGCGTGACACAGCGTGCGGGAGGGCCTGGGGCCGCTGTCGCGGGCCTCAGCCCCCGGGGCCGCCGCGGTCTCGGGGCTCCCGTGAGCTCCAAAGGGGATGGCGGTGCAGCGGGGTGGGGTCTGCGTGGAAGAGAGTGGGGTGTCGCCATCTCGGCATAATTCCCTCGTGCCCCGCGGGGACAGCGGGCAGCTCGGCCGTGGGCGCTGCCGCCCGGCCAGCGCGGATTCCGCAGCGCCAGCGGGTGCGCTTCAAGGGCGGAGGAGCGGCCGCCGCCCTCCCGTGCCCGCCCTTGCTGCGTTTGTGCCCGGGGCGAGCTGCTGTGGCGGATTATGGCGGGCGCAGGAAGGGCGCTCCGGGCCGCGCTTAGCCGCGGGAGCCCATTGCGGCCGCGCCGCTGTCGGGGGCGGGCGGAGCTCCCGCGCTGGCGGGGCTACCCCGCTCCGTCGTGCCTCGGGCCGCCGGACGCCTCCTTTGTGTCCGCCCGGGTAGAACCGGCTAACTCTCCCCGCGGCCGCGTGGTGGTGGCGGCGACCCTTCCGCTGCCGGCTCCGCCTCGCCGTGGCCGGGCGGGCGGGCGCCATTTCGGAGGGCGCCATTTCTGCTGCTTCGCGGGTGCTCTGCGGCGCCGCTGCTCCCGCCGCACTCCCTGCTGCGCCGGGCGGGCGGCTGGAGGCTCAGGGAAAGGAAGGGAAGACGGAGGGAGGGAGGCAGGCAGGCAGGCAGGCATGTGGCAAGAGTCGCTGTGTCCTGGAGGGAGCGGGACTGAGGCGCGCTGGCGTTTCCCAGCTCTTAGGTCTGTGGTCGATGGTCCCGCTTCTCGTGGCCGCTTTAGCCTTTCGGTGTTTTTAAGAGACTCGACTCAATTAGTGATTTTAACGTCCTCGATTTACCCAGTTGAACGAGACTGGAGAGCACCTGACGTATAGGCAGGTTTGACTAGGGGAGACTGAGCCGTGAATTGTAACTGTAACTGATATTACAGTTCGCCCCCTGCAGCCCTGAAATTCTTGGGATAGTTGGAAATAGATTAACCAGGGTCCGAGAAGGCTATTACACCGTAACTGGTCGTTCCCTACTCTTCGTACGCGTAGCAGCGCAGATTTTGGCAACGTATGCTTGAGATGCCGGTATCGTTAACTCTGCGTGCCCGTTAGCTCGTTTCAATTGCCTGGGAAGGCAGTGCATGCTGTTAGCTCCTACAGGCGGGGCAGCAGTTACGCAGCTGTCTGAGAGTGTGTTTATAAAGTTACAGTCACGTTTTGGTTTTGTTTTTTTCTGTTGGTACCACAATGAGTGCCTGCCACTTGTTGGGGCACTTGAAATTAGTGCAATATGAAGGGAAACATATGATGATTTTGCTGCATTGCCTGTAAATCACATTTCTTAAGATAATAAGTAGCAAAATTATTTATTTTGTTTGCACTTCTCTCTAATGTGATTTATTAGCATTCCAAGATAAACTTAAAAGTAGCAGGTTGCAATCTATTTAAGAAAATCATAGTGAGATTCAGTTGCTTTTGGAGTTCTTGTGTGTGCACGGAGGATTATATGGCGATTATACGCAGAGGATGGTATTTCTAAAAAGAGATTTTTTTAGTGTAGGTAGAAGTTGTAATTTGTATTTTGTTCATCAGTTATACTTGATTGGCAGGCATGCTCAAATGCTTGTTAGTATGTTGGTAGAAAATTTGTAAAAGTAATCCTGACAATTACCGTAATAGGGGTTTATTTTCAAGTTTAAGTTGTGTATACCTGAACAACAGGAGCAGATTCTTATGTACTGTCCTTTTATGAAGTGAAACCAAGGCACATGTATCATATAACATGTTAAAAATAAGAGCTGAATGCAGTTCACTTTAAATTTCTCAAAATAATTTTTAGTAACTGTGTTACTTAAAACTATCGTGTGCCCAAAAACTGTAATTCAGACAGTAAGAGTTTATGTAAGTCTACAGACTTGACTTTTATCTACTCTTAGTGGTGTGTTTATCTTGGGTATGCTTTTTCTTTTATAAAGAAAAGATTTGTGACAGCTTAGGTCAAATCTCTGTGTTTTGGTTGTAGTGAGAATCAGAGCTGTTATGTGAGGAGACTCACAACTGATATATGCTGTTTTCATAGGCTCTTGAAGCAATAGGCTGTTGGATTTTGATCCCGCCCAGAATACCTGAGTTTTTCTCTGCAAGGATATATAATAGCGGTAAGTTCTAGCAGCAGGCATTTATTTTTGTTACTGTTTTTGCTTCAGCATGATGTACAGTTTGCCTTTTGACAGACTTAGATGTACCATCTTTTTTATTTTTCAACAGGTTTTGCTTGCCCACATAAGAAAAAAAGGCAATGGAGACTGAACAACAGGAAGAGACCTTTACCAACACGGAGACAAATGGTAAATGTTTTAAAGGACTATTTCTTTTTAGAAAGAACCTCTTTAAAATATTTCTAATAATGCTGTAATGATTTAACTTTACCATGTGTTTGTATCAGCAGTAGTTTTGCATTCTGTATTAAATATTTTTAGTCTTAATTAGACTGTGGCATTACATATTTTTTGAAGCATAAAGACATAATCTTTCTGTTGGCATCTTTTAGACATGAGATAAGTAACTGAAAGTTATGACTAAGGGTTAAAAAGTATTTCAAAGCTGTGTGGAGAATGTGAACATGTAAGAATATCCACTGTATCCATTTTTTTGTTTATTGCAGTTGTTACATGCAGGAATACCAATATGAGAAATACTCGAAAGCGCTTCATGCAGAATTTCTTGGGAATAATTACCAAGGAAGCTAGGACATCACTGTTGCTGATTTGTGCCAGTTTTTCCCAAACAGTATCTGAAGTGCTACTTTACTATTATTTCACCAGTATTTTAGTGTTGGACAAACTACATTGTAGCTTTATACCTGAAAGGTTTTCCCCAATTATTAATTATATATTGTAAATTATAAGTAAATATGAAGTAGGTGATACTTCACTGCTTTAAAAAATGTGTCATGAACTTCTCAACAACATTCTCATTTAAGCCGAAGTTCATAGATCTTTTAAATGCGTTTTTAGTAATTAGCCAGTAAGAAAGCTGATGAATAAAGACTTGTTTCCATGCTATGGACTCTCAGAACAGGCTTTTGTAATTGGTTTTGGACCAGTATGAAAGAATGTATTAGTAGTACAGAGCATGAATTTGGCATGTATTCCATTTTATTGCAACTTAGAAAGTTAAATAAGTGTTTATGTTTCCCCCCTATGGACCTCTCTACAGGCAAACGTCCTGCAGAAGATATGGAGGAAGAGCAGGCCTTCAAAAGATCTCGAAACACAGATGAAATGGTGGAACTGCGCATCTTGCTGCAGAGCAAAGTACGCTTTCTTGTTGTTACCATTTTTGCATGTAGCATTGTTCAAGATGATGACAGAGTGTATGTTGAGATAGAAGTTTAGAAAGCATATGTGCTTTATTTAAAATGAGGTGACTTATTAGAATAACTTTCAGTGTGTATGAGTGATAGTTGCAAGAGTATTGCAATGGAATTGTCTACAGGGGTTCTTTTAAAAAGGTAAGTCCTGAAGGATCAATACGGGTTTTTTTTAAGGATTTATTTGCTGAAGAAGTAGAGCAACAGAAATCATAAGGTCTGCATTTGAGTAGAATGTTGTTATTTTGAGAGAAACGACTGTCTATGAGTCTTTGGAAGAGAAGCTGTTTAGGGAATTTTGAGCTAATGATCATAAATTAAATATGACATATGAAAATGTATGATTTTAGTAACCTTCCTGAACAGATCTACTGAACTTGTTGAACTGTGTCAACAGGAAGAAATGTGGGAGTAATACTTCAGGATTTGCAGGGATTTTGTTGACAAGTGTAAATAGTTAAAAGTTGCTATACATGAGTTTCCTCTGTTGTTTGCACTTGCTCCAGGATCACTTGTCGTTTCTAAAGTATCTCAGTCTTTTGTGTTGGCATGGAAGAATGTTGCCTTAACTCCATGTGCCATTTCTGACCAATAGTTGATTTACATGGAGTACCATGAAATGTTTTGCATGCTTTTAGCATAAGTATGATCTGTGTAATAAAAGCAATATTTTGTATGTAATCCTTGAGAGAACCTGGTAAAAATTTAGTTTTGCAATTACTGTTCTTCACTATGTGCCAGTTTATTCCTGATAGCTTGAATGAAGTAGGTGGCTGTTAACATTCACTTTAACCTTTTTCAGAATATATTGCTCTGAGAAAATAATTACATTACAGAGGCATAAACCAAAATTAGCCCTTGGAATTATCAAATATTGGGAGCACAAAAGTGAAATTTGCGAAGGTACTTCTTAAAAAAGAAAAAATACAAAATTATCAATTAAATCAAGCAAATCATTGACCTATATTACATTCATATGGTATTTTTTGCAAGGGATACAATCTATGAGATAAGTTTAGCATGGGCAGAATTACCTAGAAACTTCGTTTGGAATTGAAATATTAGTGGCAAAACTGAGTATTTTTTTCTCTGCTGTTTGGTGGTAGTAAGAGCTTTTAGTCATCATTTTTTTTAAGATGGATAAACTGTATCCGTTTGTTTCAATTTGATTTGAACCTTTCTAAAGGAGTGCTTGCCTGCCCTCATGTCTTGGGCCAGCAGGGTAATGCAAAAATAGATTTACCCTTTTTAGTCTTGAGTTCAAAAATGTAGTCTGTGCTGTGCTGTCATAACTTAACTTCTTGAAAACTATTTTCCAGAATGCTGGAGCTGTGATTGGAAAAGGTGGCAAAAATATTAAAGCACTTCGTACAGATGTGAGTATATATGAGTTTGAACTAATTTAACACCAGTTCTTTCAGAGCACTACATCGAAAACTTGATTGCGTGCATTTCTAGAAATGGGAGCAATTCAACTCCGTAGGCATCAATAGTCAAGTTACAAGCCATTCGTATTGAGTGTTAGAGTAGATAACTTAGTTCTTCAATTTCTATTGCAGTTAAAACCCAGCCTGACTCGTGGGATGAGAGGTTTATATTAAATCTCTTCACTTTTTAATAGAATTCTACTGAATTACACACTTCAAGCAAGTTAACATCCTAATTAAAAATGTTGACAAAGCTTAAGCCCCTTAATAGTACCATTTCCCGTACGTGTGAATCAATTATAGTACTGCTGAAACCATTGCAGGTGGCTGGCTTAACCCAGTGATAGAGGACTTGTCTAACTTCCTTAAAAAGAGCAATATGACATCATCCATCTGTTCCTTAACAGCTTGCACATGAAGAACAAAAACATTAAGGTTTCTTTCTTTAAATATGGGTATAAAACACTAAGGGAGAATTCTGTTCTGTTACTTGGAAGCATTTTTAAATGGTCATGACTTACTGCCCGTTCACACTTTACAGTGGGTTAACTCTTGTGATTAGGCACATGCTGAGCGTTAATGTTGTGTATTTATAAAACTTGGCAACTCTTCTTAAATTCCATTTGTACCTCCTGTTCTTAACATCAGCTGCAATTTCAACAATTTTTCCTATCAAGACTCTATTCAACATAAGATTTGGCAACTTATCATTACAAATCAGTTTCAACTAAGTTCAGCAACTACCGCAACTGAATTGAGGTTTTAGTTGAAATGGTCAGGAATCAGACATATACTCACTAACTTTGGCAGATAGTTGTTCTTTTTTCTTCTCTTTTAGGGTTTTTTATCGGTTTTTTTCTTTCTTTCCTTTTTTTTTTTTTCCTCTTGGAGTAAATCAGTGTGTCACCTAAGTCCAGATAATTTAGATTGGTCTGGAATACAAACTTTCCCAATTTGCCCAAGGTTCTAGTACTATCAGTCTCGACAGGTTTTGTGTCTGCCCTCATGAGCCAGCCTGCTACTGAAACGTCATTTGTTAAAAGTAAAAAGTAGTTTAGTCAGATCAAGTGACTCATTTTTAAGGTCCATACTGTTAAGCCACAGTCGGTGTAGCAATCCGTTATTGTGTTAGTCTTCAGAACAACTTAAGCTTGTTTCATTAATTGAGAGTAATGAGTATAGTTTGTATTAAATTAAAATTTATTGCTTTTCCCCCTTTTCCCTCTCCTTGTTTTTTTGGCCATATATCTCCGTTGCCCATGTACTGGATCGACTTGCCCCTGCGTTGCCCACCATGACGTTGGCCCATCCGCCCCTGAACGCCCATGTGAAAACCCTGGTTGGCTATGCCCAAAAATGTGCTCGTTGCCAAACGGGTACCATACTTGACAACTTCTGATTGAATACCCATGCCCAATGCCAACATCCACGAACGCCAATGACCAATGCAGTACAATGCCAGTGTTTCAGTCCCAGACAGCAGTGGCCCCGAGCGGTATGTCCCAACAGTTTATGCCTCACTGCCTGATTAGAAAGAGAGAAATGTATTTTATTACCTGCCTTTGATATAATTAAATAGTATCCCCTTATAGACGGTGTATTGTTTTTTTTCAAGTTTTCTGTCTTATTTTCCCCATTAAGTCTTTTTGTCACTGAACTTTTACGTGAGTTGCCCACCCAAACAATCCACTAATTTTATTTCAATGGAAGGAGCACAGCTTCAAGTGTTGCATATTTGCTGCATTGTAAATCAAATTGGTTCAAAATAGTCTTTCGCTCTGTCTTTGTGGCCCACCTTGCTCCCCTCAACATTGCCTGTTCATAATTATTTCTGATGAAATGCTAATTCCGGTTCGCTTTCCTTCACTTCTCATTTGTTTTGTCTTTTTTGTCTTGCATTCGTATTTGTTTTCTTGGAGAGCCCATTAGTAATCTGATTTCATAACCTTATTCCAGATACAACGTTCACCACTTGCATATCCTCCCTTTTAATATGAGAAGGTGTGCCAGCGTAATGTAATAGTGAGGGTATCCTAATTAGTGGTGGCGGGGAACATGAATATTCACTTCTACTTTCAGTTCTGCATCAATTTCTTGCCCACTTAATCTGAGCCCTTCCAAAAGCCCATTCTGTCTTTCTCTCTCTGCAAGACCTACCTAATCTTAAATTTCTCATGCGTATATACTGGGCATAAACAAAGATGCATGTGTTATAAATTGAGCAAACAGGTTTACTTAAAACGGGGAATCTTAATTGTAAACTCTTCTTTGTAGTGTATCTTGTTAAAATTTTGTCTGTGATGATTTAAAAAATTTACTTCTGCTTTTTCTTTTCTACCTACTCCATCTTGTCTGGTATTGTGGCTTTCAACAGCATTTTGAGTATAAGTGCAGATATAGAGACAATTGGAGAAATCTTGAAGAAGATTATCCCTACTTTAGAAGAGGTATGTCTCTTAATATTTTGTTTTAAAGGTAAAAGATTAGCTTTTGAACAAGATGGTTCTGAATCACTTTCTGCTTTTTACATACAGGAAATTAAAAAAATAAATGCCAGAGGCCTTTTAAGGAAGGGTTATGGCTCTCACACTACATGTTGACATTTTTTTGGTGGAGGACAATCTGTCACTGTTTATTAAATTAACATTTTGAACAGCCTTCCCCCTTTCAAAATATTAAGTGTTGCACTGTTCAGTACCTTGTTAAGTCTTTGTTGCAAGTTGTGCAGTATAAGGTAATAAATAATGTAATAAGTAATGCAATAAATAAGGAAAACTGATACTTCACCTAGAGGGGTGGTGCGTAAGTAGTTGTGATCTTATCAAAGGAAATGCAGGTTTACAATTCAGCAATAAGTCATACCATTGTTTGAAGAAAAAAAACTTAAAATGCCAAATATTTAAAACTTTATTTTATTTTTTTCTCTATATGCGTCTTTCATACAGTATCAACACTACAAAGGCAGCGACTTTGACTGTGAATTAAGACTTCTCATTCACCAGAGTTTGGCAGGAGGAATTATTGGTGTCAAGGGTGCTAAAATTAAAGAACTCAGAGAGGTACTTGCTTCCTGCTCTTAGATTTGTCTTTTGTTTAATAAATCATGTTTTCTGTTCATAAGAGGCCAGTGTAAGTATCTTCTGTGCAGTAATTCCTACTGAACATACTGTGTACATGCTTCTGATGTTCTGAGATGGAGCTGTACGTTGCAACTTCCTTGCAGACCTTCAGAAGGAGTAGTGGTGACAGAGCCTAGGACTTGATTATACAATATATGTGGTAGAATACTGTTTTTAAAGGGAGGATTTTTACTCTGTTTTATTAAAATTTTATTCATCACTCCTTCTAGAATGAACTTCTGCACAGTCTAGAATTATTTGTGTCATTGGACATAAAAAATGGTCTAGGGCAAAAGCATCTCCACGGTAGATGTCTGAATATTACTGTAGAAGAGCTTTATTTTTGGTTTTGTTTTTTTTTTTTTAATTCTTCTTACTGCTAGAAGACCATTGTTTTCTTTCAGTGAAGGAATAAGATTTAAAAAAGGTAATGATCTCTGTGAGCTGAAGACACGTTTTCCTTTTTATCATTGTGTCAGAGGCCATTGCAGGTCTGTGCAGGTATAGGCTGCTACCTGTTTGCATGGGTTGAGAAAGGCTAGATAACTAGACATAATCCTGGCAATATTACTGTCTTAGCATCCAGAGCATGTTTTCTTCATTTGAGGGTTAATACAGCCTGTAAGCTCACAATGGCTATATGATCCTTTTTCTAATATTTAATTAAATAATGGTGTAAATGAGTCATAGTGGAAACAGGAGAAAATTGAACTTTTTTCCATCTTCATACAAAATTTATGTTACCACTGATCTTTAAAAGATGTCATCTTCAAATTTGTTGTGATAACTCTGAAGCAGGCATGCAATTTTAAGTAGCTTGAATTTAATTTTATTTTGGATTTTTTTCTTTTAAAATGTTTTAGTGGGTTTATAAAGTTGTTTAAAATATATTTGACAAGCTTGAATTTTTTTCTTCTACAGAACACTCAGACCACCATTAAGCTCTTTCAAGAATGTTGTCCTCATTCTACTGACAGAGTGGTGCTTATTGGTGGAAAACCTGATAGGGTTGTTGAGTGCATCAAGATTATCTTGGATCTTATCTCTGAGGTAATATTTATTAAATTTATTTTATTCTTTCATTGGCATTCATGAATCTTAGATATAAAACAATGTCTTGCAGTTTGTTTTGAATTCAGTACGTCCTACTTTCCCAACAGCAAAGTGATCGTCAGGAACTTTTGAAACTGTTTCTGTTGTTTAAAATTGGGGTGCACCTTATGGAGGAGGAAAGCAGTTTTTGGTACTAGTGGGCCGTTATTCATGTTTTGCATATCATTAAAATGAAAAAATTGAAGAGGAAGGAAGACAAAGTTTATAAGCTATGGATAAGTAACAGTAGTTTCTCTGTCACACATCAGCATTTTCTTTCTTAGTAGCCTTGTAAAATCAAAACCATGTTCCAAATGCATGAATTCATACTTACATATTTGCTGTAGTAATTAAGTATGTAGTAATTAAGTTGTAATTGTTCTAATTGATTTGGGGGGATTGTTTTGTTTGTTTGTATTAGTCTCCAATTAAAGGACGGGCCCAGCCTTATGATCCCAATTTCTATGATGAAACATATGACTACGGTGGCTTCACCATGATGTTTGATGATAGAAGGGGACGTCCAGTGGGCTTTCCGATGCGTGGGAGGGGAGGCTTTGATCGAATGCCCCCTGGTCGTGGTGGACGACCTATGCCTCCCTCGAGAAGAGATTATGATGATATGAGCCCTCGCAGAGGACCTCCACCACCTCCACCAGGTCGTGGTGGTAGAGGTGGCAGCAGAGCTCGTAATCTTCCTCTTCCTCCTCCACCACCTCCTCGTGGCGGGTGAGTTGTTGCATAAATGCATTATACAAAAACTGATGTTGTATATATTTTCCTGAATCATATTCATATTTCCGGTGTTTTTTCCATGCTTCCACGTTGTTAGTGATTATGCAGGATTGAATGTGTATTAGACAAGAGTATTTTGAAAAGTACTGCAGTTTAATTACCTACTGCGCCATAGTAAGTTGCCAGGATTGTAACTGGTACTTCTGTAACTTCTGTCATTCAGTACTTGGTTAGCGTAGTTTGATATTAAGTTGTATGTGAACCATCAGTGTGAAAATTTAGATTAGAATAAACAAGCTGGTTCATAATACAGATAACGTAATTAACGTGCTGCTGCTTTTTTCATTTTAGAGATCTGATGTCCTATGACCGAAGGGGCAGACCAGGAGATCGTTACGATGGCATGGTACGAGTTTAAAATTGGCCTTGTTCTGTTCTGTAACCACAGCTAGCGTGCTGTCTGAAGATACTGTTGATGAACATATGCACGTCAATGTGAATATGCATGGTTCTGATGGTAAAATCAAAATGTTTTGTCCATACAAATAGTCCTCCTGTGGAGGAGTATATGGGGTATAAGTGGTATTCAAGACCTATTTTCTTTTATTTCCTTTCTGCCATCAAAAATGATACAGAAGGTTTGACTGTGCTCAGCCCTGCAGGTGTTTTTGCACTGGCTGTCTTTCAGGTTTTTTAATCAGGATGACAGAAATAGAATTAGGAGATTTTGGAAATAGAATTAGGAGATTTTTCAACTACAGAAAACATGTCAGAACAATGAGTTATACAAACATTCTTAACACTAAATGTTAGAAAACATGAGCATAGATACTATAATGTAGATTATAGAATGTTATCTGAGAAGAACTGTAGTTAATCTGAAAGGTTGATTGCTCTTTTGAATCAATTCTTGTCTATTCTCTGGTAATTCCAGATGTTTTGGAGGTAGGACCACTGCTGAGTTGCATCCTAAATTAATACTTGCTGAGACAGAAAATAATCTCTCATATGGAGATTCAAAGCAAGGGATTATAGATAATCTTCTATGTTGCTTCTGAACTGTGACTTCCCAGCAGTTATCTGCTGTTCTGAGGAAGGATTCCTCTTTCCTCAGAAGAAAAACTGGGAGGTTATCCTGGTTTTAGTTGGGATAGTTACTTTCTTCTCTTAGCTGGTACGTTGCTGTGTTTTGAATTCAGTATGAGAATAATGTTGGTAATACGCTGGTATTTTGGTTGTTCCTAAGTAGTGTTTGTGCTAAGTCAGGGACTTGTTCAGTCCCTCATGCTTTGCTGGTGAGTATGTACACAAAAAGCTGGGAGGGAGCATGGCCAGGACAGGTGACCTGAACTGGCCAAAGAGGTCTGGCAGTGGTCATTGGGTGGTGAGCAGTTGTATTGTGTGCCACTAGGTTTTTTTTTAATTTGGGGTTTGGCTCCCCTTTAGATTATTATTTATTGTTATTGTTATCTCCTACTTTGTTTCAATTAGTAAATTGTTGTTATAGTTTTGATTCACTCCCCAGTTCCTCCGTGATGAGGGTTGGGTGGGTGGTGTGAGCAAGAGGCTTTGTGGTGTTAGTTGCCAGCTGGGCTTAAACCACAACAGAGTGAATCTCTATAGTAAAAAACCTTGTCTTCTCCTTGGACTTTGTCTGACACCTTCTTTAAGATGACAGGTGACATAATATGATTTTTTTTTCTTTTAAATGAAGCTAAGAAGTGGAAAAGAGCTATGAAAAGAGCTACCTAAATGTGCTTTTACACATGTCCTGCCTGAGAGTAAGAGTACTGGAACTAAAAATTGCAACAATGTCATGTGCTTACTAGAAATAATTAAAGATTTCCACGCAGTTACAAAAAAAAGATTTACTCCTGCTACTTGTTAAGAAACAGGAGGAATTGGTTGGAAGAATCAGGTTTTGTGTTCTTTTGTTTGCAGCTAATAAAGCCAGTGCTAGAGTACATAAACTGAGCAGCCTGTCCATCTTCGGGCATCTGGTTAAGCACAGTCTTACTTAGCTAGACTCTGGGGCAGTGGTGTGTTCTATTTTTATTCCATTCCAGCTAGAACAGAAAATCCATTTTGACTTAGGTTTAGCCTGTCAGGTTAACCTTCACTTTGTTGATGTGAGTTTCTACAAGCAAGTGGAGTCATTTCAGTTAGGGTTTTTTTGTGCAAAAAAGCACTTTTATTTCCTTTTCATAGTGAAGCTGCTCATGACTTTGACTCCTTTATGACCAAGTATCATAGCCTAGTTAAAGGGAGCACTGCTTCCCAGCAAAGATTGTATTTAATTTCCAGTTTTAGTTAATCATGACTCTAGTATCCTAAACTGTGGAAGCAGAAAGGTTGATTGTTAAGCTGCAGCTGCAAGTGTCGTGCCAGAAATGTAAGGTTTTCCTGTGCTGCCCTTTGTTTCATATAGCAACCGTTCTCTAGCTAAAGTTTTAAACTAGAGTAAATCAATGTTGTTGTGATTTGTGATCTAAGTAATGATGGGAAAAGCTGCTCTTAGAGAGCAAAAGTGCTTTTTCACATGGATCCTATTTTACATAGATGCAATAAAAGGTAAGAATAGAGGAACATCTCAAAAGTCCTATAGCAATTGAATGTACAGAAACTTTTTTGCCAGTTCTCTTTTCCATAAAGGCAGAAAGATTGAATGGTTGATGACTCATCAAGTGGATTGTGAGTCGAGTTTAAGACTGGATGCTGAGCTGTGAGTGTTCTGGAATTTCAGAAAGATAACAGGATTGACTGTGTTTTAAAGATTGAGATGAGAAAAAACAATTTGCATTTTAAAAGATAGGTTAATTTCTCTTGCCAATGTAGAGTCACTCACTTAAGATGATATTGTCTGTTAGCCTGACTTACAGTTGTAATATAATTATGCACTGCTGTTAAAAACGTTCATTTGGCTTATAGTCTGCTCTGAAGCTTTTTCCCAAAGTACAGATTTGTACTGTTTCTCTGCGAATGGAACTGTATGTTTCAATGTGTAGCTACTCCAGATCAAATGCCTGTGGACCATAAGGGCTGTTGTCAGCTGAAAAATCCTAAATTTCCTATATTTCTTTTTTAACACATTCATTCTTTGGGGTGTCTCAGATACAGAAATGCACTCAGATACCACTTGGATGGGTAGAAAATAGTGAACAAGTGTGTGAAGTCCATTTTATCTCAGTTACTAAAATGTTCAAAGTACTAAAAATTTTAAAATCTGAGTTAATGTAGATTTAAATCAGAATGTCTCCTGTTAAGTGGACTGTCTCTTCACACTGTTGTGAGTGTCTTCAGACTTGTAATGTGCTTTTGCTCCTTCAAATGCTTCCTGGTTCTTGATTTTTTTTTTTAAACTTCTATATATATGTGTGTGTCTTGATGTATAAACACTTGAATAAAGACACATAAGTTTTAGAAAATATGAAACAATTCCCAGGTTTAAGAGATGTGACATTAACAGACATGTAAAAAATTAGTAAAGGAAGAATGTATGACAACTGTACTATTTATTCATGCAGATCCTGGAAGGAAGTAACAAAATTTCACTCTTAGGTCACTCATAAAACCCAGAAAAAGTTAGGACAAAAGAATTTTACATCAGTTAGGACTGCATGCGTTTTCTTTCACTTGATGTAAAAGTGAAGCTCTTTGTGTTACCCAGCCCACCTATCATCTCGTTTGTATTCTAGTACTAGTAGTGACCAGCACAAATGAGTCTGCAGCAAAGAATATTTTGTTATTTATGTTAAGACACCCTGTTTCAGAAACTTGTTTTAGAGTGCACAAATGAACATCAATTGCTGAAACTGTAAAATTCTGAAAGAAAGAAATGCTAGATATCATGTTTTAGAAACATAACTAAATTTCTAATATAGTTAGTCAGCGGTAGATTCTTAGTCTGCTTGGCTGTATGAGGTATATGGAAATGAATTGGTAGAATATGAGAAACAGTGTCCTTCCTGCTTGACCTCTGTTGGCATAATCACTTGCAGTTATTTGTTTCAATCTTACTAAACCTTCATTTTCCAACAGATGGTAGAAATAAAAGGTTTTTCTAATGCATGGCAAAGTATTTTTATATGTAATAGCACTTGAAGGTTTTCTTAAAAGGCAGAAAAAAAGGCTTGTTCAAGCTTTACCTTGCCATTAGCTCTCTGACCTTCTTTGCTAGAGAAGAAATCTGTTAATACCACAGAAAGAAGGGTGAAACCATGAGTGTGGCCACTTACAGTTCCCTCAAAATAAAATTAAAAGGGAATGAGTCTTGAGAGTGGTCTAACTCAGAACATTTCAAGTCTTTGCTATGGTGTTAAGGTGTCTTTGTACTAGTATGTATTGTATTTGCTTGCCAAGTTCACTAAAACTCTGTATGACCTGGGCTTTCTTTCTTCCTCCTTTCATGTTGTGTCTGGAAGATGATGCAGTGTCATGTGGATGCTTGTGATGACATGCAGCCACCAGAGTTGGTGAGTGTGTTCAACCTATTTTCTGAAAATTGCTTTGTCGAACAAAGTAAGCGATTAGGTGAATTTCTTAAGAGATCTTGAGTGTAGTCTGTCACAACTTGCATCTATTAAACACTTGATAAAGCTGTTCTTTGGACTCAGAATTTATTGGCAGTCCTAATAGTGTGTCCTTTGACGAGAGGTAATGTTAATAGAAATGTGGAATTGTGCAGTAGCATGCTTTTCTGCATGCTACTGCATGCAATACCTCTTTTTTGCCTGTTTTACACCCTTTTTTCATTTTGTAAATGGTAACTTTTCCATAACTAATGCATTGTAGATGCATACACTTAGGATATATATTTTGTGTTAATTTCATAATGTTGCTATTTTTTTTTAATTTCAAACAGCAAATATTAAAAGTAGCTTATTACTTACATTTTTGGATAAACTACAATGCTTTTTTTATCAATGTATTTGAAAATATACCATTTGATCAGATAGGTTTTGGGGAAGAAAGTTATAGAATCATAGAATGATTTTGCTTGGAAGGGACCTTAAAAATCATCTAGTTCCAACCTGCTTGCCGTGGGCAGAGAACCTTGGTCTAGACAGGCTTGCTCAGGATTCCATCCAACATGGCCTTGAACACTTCCAAGGAGATGGGCATCCACAACTTCTCTGTGCAACCTGTTCCAATGCTTCAACGCCCTCACAAGGATTTCTTCCTAATATCTGAACTAAACCTACTATCTTTTAATTTAAAGCAATTGCCCCTTCTCTTCCCTCTACATGCCCTTTTAAAAAGTCCTCTTGGGTGTTCTTGTAGGCTCCCGTCAGTTGCTAAAGGCCACAATAAGGTCGGCCTAGAGTCTTCTGTTCTTCAGGCTGAACAACCCCAACTCTCTCAGGTTTTCTTATAGGAGAGGTGCTCTAGCCCTCTGATCTTGTTGATGGCCCTCCTCTGGACTTACTTCAATAGGTCTGTGCCCTTATGTTGGGGATCCCAGAGCTGGATGCAGCACTCCAGATGGGGTCTCACCAGAGCTTGTAGGGGGCCAGAATCACGTCCTTTGCCCTGCTGGCCACACTGCTTTTGATGCAGCCCAGGATACAATTGGCTTTCTGGGCTGCAAGTGCAAATTGCCAGGTCATGTCCAGCCTCTGATCCACTAGCACCTTCAAGTCCTTCTTGGCAGCGCTGCTCTCGAGCAGTTCATATCCCAGCCTGTATTGATACCAGGAGTTGCCCAGACCCAAGTGCACCGCTCAGCTCGGTGTCATCTGCAACTTGATAAGGGTGCACTCCATCCCTTTTTCTGTGTCATTGATGAAGACATTTAATAGCACTGTTCACAGTTCCAACCCCCTGAAGGTCACCACTTGTTGTCCATTGGAACTCTGAGCCATTGGCAATACCCTCTGGATGTAACCATCCAACCAGTTCCTTATTCACTGAACAGTCCACCCATTTGAATCCATCTCTCTCCAATCTGGAGAGAAGGATATTGTGGGGGGACCATGTCAAAGGCCTTACAGAAGTCCAGGTAGATGGCATCTGTAGCCCTTCCCTTGTTCAGTGATGTAGTGACTCCACTGTAGAAGTTATGAAGTACAGCAGGTGCTTGTGCTATCTTGAAGATGGCAAAATGACACCAAATTAATATTTTTGATTAATTGATGTGAAATGTCAGTTCTTAGCTTACATAAACACAGAATCTGCTATCAAGTTATGTTGTTCTGTAGTCTGGGGAAGCAGATGTAATCAAAGAAAGGATTTTTCTTTGAAACAGATTAGTCCAAAAAGGAATCCTGTGGCAAATACCAACAGGAATATGTCTCTGTGTATGCAGTATGCTGTATGATCAGCCTCTGAATTAAGCCTTAAGCAGAATCCTTCATTCTCTCATATTTTAGACTCCAGTACAAGCTCTATTATGTTGTATTCCAATCTGTATCGCTTAGTAACGTGACAATACAAGTTGCTTAGGGACCGAGGACAAGCTCAGCACTTTGATCTGAGTAGCTTCCATTTTGATCTTAAAAGGTAGATGGTAAGTAATATTTTTGGGAAAGTTGTTACATTGTAACTTTTGTGAACAAGTAGTTGTGGTTGGTTCAACTTGACTGGCTGCCCAGCCAGTTTACCTGCTCTTTCACTCTCCTTCCTCAGCAGGGTGAGGGGAGAAAGCAAGACAGAAAGTCTGTAGCTCATGATGAACACAGAGAGATCACTTAGTAATTACTATCATGGGCAAAACAGGGTTGACTTGGGGAAGACTTACTGCCACATTGAATATCATGGTGAGAAACAAAGAGGAAAACTAAAAACACCTTTCCCCACCCTTCACTTCTTCCCAGACTAAACTTCCACTCCTTTATTCCCTGCCCTTGTACTTTCTCTGCCATGAATGGTGCAGGTGGGATAGGAAATGTTGGGTTGCAGGTTAGTTCATCACACCTGTATCTATTCCATCCTCTTCACACTGTTCCCCTGCTCCACTGTAGGGTCCTTCCCATGGGATACAATCATTCATAAATGCCTCAAGTGCGTTCTCCGTTGGACTGCAGTTCTTCAAGAACTGCTCCAGTGTAGGTCCTGGTCATGGGGTACAGTCCTGCAGGAACAGACTGATTCAGTGTGGGTCCCCCAGAGATCCTGCCAGGCATCTGTGCTGGCTTGGAATCTCCACAAACTGCAGCTTCTGCTTGGTCACAGCATAGCATCCTGCATGGGATACAGGGTAGCCATCTGCTCCAACATGGTTCTCTTGACCGGCTGCAGGACAGTGTTCATTCCAGTGCCTGGAGCACCTTTTCCCGGTCCTTCACTGTGGTGTCTGCAGGGCAGATCCACTCAATTTTTTCCTCCTTGCTCATCTCTTGCAATCAGTGCACACTGAGGTTTGTTTTTTTTTACTCTTTTTTAAATGTTATTGTGTAGATGCCACCAGCTTTGCTAGCAGTTTCAGCTTTAGGCAGCCCCGGCTTCCTGTCACAGAACTCGTGAGTCTCTAAAAAGTTGAGTTCAAGGGAACCTTGTGTATTTATTCTCTGCTTCTGTGGGAAAATATGAATATGGAGTCTCGAGCACTTATTTCATTAGATGAAGCAAAACACTTATGTCAAATACAAGTTTACAAATCTTAAAAATAAAAAGGGGCTAGGAGTGCTTGTAGTGATTTGTATTTGGTGGTTTAAATGGAAAAGAAGTAACTCATGTCATGATTATCTGTTCAAACATATTAAGTATTGTAGCATAGTCTGAATCAAGAGACAAATTACAGAGCTGTTCTTAAGAACTTACTGGGTTTTTTTCCCGAAGGTGTAGATGAAGTAGGAGGATTGACAGTCACTGGGTAAACTTTTTGTACCAAAACTGGAGACTTGAGTTTCTCCTGAGCTATGTTAGTAGCATTAGTAAGGTTGTACTCTGATCTTGTAATTTGAATGTTTGTTTAGTCCAATGGTCACAAGTAGGTCAGCATCAAGAGCTGTCTATGAGAAGCTGAGTTAGTGAGACTGCCTTGGTAAACTGGCAGGTTTTGACAGGGCAGGATAAGAATCACACAATCACAGAATATCTTGTGTGGGACAGAACCCACAAGGGTCATCACGTCCAACACCTGGCCCTGCACAGGACAGCCCCAAGAATTACACCATGTGCCTTAGAGCATTGTCCAAATGGACAGAGGTTAATGAGAGACCTCCCACTCACTCCTTTTTTTTCTGATCTGCCCTCTTTGCCTCAGGATGCCTTTGCTAGCACAACAATTATATTTATAGTCAGGTTGAGGGTTGAGATGTTTGCATAAGATAGGCTCAAAGTTAACAATACAATATTTAGGACAAAAATGTGTTAATGAAGAATAGCTATTCACTATTTAAGGTTTTTTTTCTCTTTCTCTTACAGTTTGAGGGTGGCTCTGGTTATGGTAAGTGTTTATGTAAAACTGTTACATGTACTTCATTACATAGTTACTAAAGGGCTTGATGCATACACTTAAATCAGATTATTCTTATGCAGGGGGGCGCGGTTCATATGGAGATCTTGGTGGACCCATCATCACAACACAAGTAACAATTCCCAAAGATGTAAGTAAATTTGACTTGCTTTCAACTCATGCTTTTTCTTAAAAAAAAAAGAAGTCACAGTTATTTCTCAGACTATTGAAGTGAATCAGAAGTACTTAGAGTGCTTGATAAGTACTTCTAATACAAAACAAGTGTTTCCAAATCACCAAGAGTATTCTTGGATTGGTTTGTATCTTCAGAGACTCACTAAACAATTTTACTAAGAGTTAATACTCAGTAATAGAGATGGACTGTGTAACGTGTTTTTTACAAATGAGCGGCTGGTTCTCCCAGTTTTATCCCACTTGTGTTTGTACAATTAATACCACAGGGGATGTTTTTAGGCTGTAAAGAAGTAAGCTTCCATTCGAACTCTTAAAACTGAATTTGTAGAAACTACTTAAATGCTGCTGGGATTTTCTAACTGGTTTTAGAAAGAAAGTTGTATTGGGAAATGAATTTTTTGCTTTCTTCCCTAGTTGGCAGGATCTATTATTGGAAAGGGAGGCCAGAGAATCAAACAAATACGTCATGAGTCAGGAGCTTCAATCAAAATTGATGAACCATTAGAAGGCTCAGAAGATCGGATAATAACAATCACAGGAACACAGGACCAGATACAAAATGCACAATATTTGCTGCAGAACAGGCAAGTTAACGTTTAATATTCTCTCTACTGTCAATTTTAAATTGACGTGTACATTATAAAACTGCTCTGTGAATCAATTTTTTAAGAAGGCAGGTTTTAAGTAACTATTTGAAGCTAACTTCTCCACTGCTAGTTCTGCCTTGATTTTCTTCTGTTCTCCATTCTAATTAAAATGAAGACACCCTCAAAACTAATCTTGCTGGAAGACACCTTAACCAAGCAGTCCTCTCCTTTCTCTGGTGAAAACTGCTGCAAAAAAAGTACTTGTAATAAATTATATAGAGCCTGTAGAAAATATAGAAGATTTCAGTGGATGTTGGCCTAGTTCTGTGTGGAAGACTAGTGATTTTGTTGTTTTTAGATAACTAAATTGACAACAAATCACAGTCTGCCATATGGCACAGACCATGCCTCTACAGGACAAGTTGAAATCGATTTGGTGCTGTTATGCAGCATTTCACACCTTGCTGACATTACTTTGCCTTTTCTACCAAATATTAACAGCTTCAGATAACATTTGCTTTATTAACTTCTGGCTGTCCTAGTAGATTTTAATGTTTTAACTGGAATGTTTGGCTTTAGAGTATTAATATTTAAATGTACCATAAATATACTAATACAATTATTAGCCATTGATATTTTAGAATTATTTAATTATTCACTTTTAAATGTGTTAGGAATTTGTAATTTAATCTGCTCTAAAAATGTCATTATGAATATTGATGCAAGATGTATGGTCCATCATTCTAATACATGCTTTTTTCTTTTTCTTTTATAGTGTGAAGCAGTATGCAGATGTTGAAGGATTCTAATGCAAGATTATTTTTTCTTTTTTATAGTGTGAAGCAGTATTCTGGAAAGTTTTTCTAAGACTAGTGAAGAACTGAAGGAGTCCTGCACCCCTATTTTTTTTTTTTTAATCTGCTTCTGTTTAAAAAGCCAACATTCCTCTGCTTCATAGGTGTTCTGCATTTGAGGTGTAGTGGAATCTTTACTGTCCACCAGATGTAATGTTTTAGTTCCTTACAAATACATGGGGGGAGGGAGCACGAGACTAACACTGAAATTTTGAAGCAGCAGAGAGATTGAATTCTATTTTTGTTCATCGTTGGTGGTAAATTGTAATGTTTTTCTGTAATTGTTGTGTACACCCTGCTTTTATGTACACGGTGTCTTATTTTAAAGGGGGATGAATTCTGGTAGGCCTCATGTCCCTGGTATCTGTTGAGAGCAGTATGCAGAATGTAATGCTTTTTTGTAAGAAACATTTTAGGATTTTTAAATAAATTTAGTGAACCTATTCTTGGTGGTCATTTTTTTTCAGGTCTACATAAGATAATAACTAAAATGAATACACCTAGTTTGGTTGGGTTTTTTTCCCCATATGAATTAAAGTTGCTGTTAAGCTTGCTCTTCAGCTTCCTTGATATAGATGGAGTTATGTGGGGGTTTTTGACAAATTAAAGAAATTGTGTGAAAACAATGACTGCTTTGCTGTTTGGGGGAAAAAAAAAGTTAAAATATACACAAAAAATGTGTAAAACTTGACATTTTTGCAAGTGTTTGGCCCTCTTTGCAGTACATATATATATTGGTGACAGTATATAAATAAAATATTTAAAAACTTTGTGATGTCACTGAGTAAACAGTGGTAAAGTACACCTGGTTATAGACAGCTTGCTTAATGCAGATAACACTGTTAGAAATGACAGTTGCTCTACCATTTCTGAATAAATTATAGCTGTTTCCTGAGCTTTTTTTTGTATGAGGTAGAAATTGCAAATTGGCAAATTGACAGTATCTAACTCTGTAACTTGTAATTGTATGCAAAACTTAAACTTGTTTGGTTTCCCAGCTGTATGTTGAATTCCATAAGAATTATTTGTGAGAAATTAAAAAAAAACATATAAAGCCTCTAGATATCTCATGTAATACCTTGGCATTTGTATTTATAGTTAAAAGTTTTAATTTCACTTCCTGAATAAAAACAAATTAAAAAACGTAGAAGTGTGTTGCACATATGGATATGATGGGTCCAGGCTAAGCCTGGGTTCTTTTGTTGTGTTTTGTTATTTTGGTGGTTGAGAATTTTTTTTCCGCCCATGGTTTGTTGGAGCATTGGTTAAGCTTGGCCTTTTTAGAGCAGCTACTCATTAAATGGAATGGTAAAAGGCAAGGATCTAAGTAAGACATTGCGTGCAAGGCTGGCCTACTTGGCAGAGCTGTAACAAATCTGTAGAAAGTAAACAGTGCCATCAGCCTTGTGTGTTGTCAGAAGGAAGGCAGCTGGCACCTGGCTGGTTACTCAACGAACCGTAATTAAGAGGGAGAAGTCTACAAATCGAGGCAAAGGTTTTGGGCGAAATGCGAGTGAACCGGAACAGTTGCCGAATTTTGTGTGCCTCCAACTTGCTATGTACGGACGAGTGGGGTTGTGAGAGGTCGTTACTTTGGTGCTGTCCTGTTTTAATTCGGGAGGAAAGCTCAGCAAGTATCAACACGCAAATTTTTGTTCGAAGCAGAGCCTGTATCCTGCTGCAGCCTGGCAGGGTTGCGGGGGCCGATCCCGATGCTCCCCAAGTGCCGGCCCCGGCGCTCCTGCAACTCCGGGCTCTGTGCGCGCCCCGCCGCGGCGGGAGCCGCCCGGGCCCGCCCCGTCCGCGCCTGCGCGCGGCCGTGGCCTCGCGGGGTGGGGAGTGGAGCGGGGCCGGGATCTGGGTAAGCCCGAGCAGCTTCGGCGGGGCTGGGTTGGGCGGCGTGCGCGTGTCCTGCCCAGCATGGAGGGTTTCCCGTCCCCCCTGGAATCTGCCAAGTTCATCGCCGACCACAGCAAAGATGTCTCCGTGGACGAGGAGGGGGCGCGGCGGGTGGCGGAGAGCCTGTTTGACAAAGCCTCGGCCGTGGAGTTCGGGGTGGCGGGGTGGAAGAGTCTCCACGAGCTGAACCCCCGCGCCGCCGACAAGGAGGCAGTGGACTGGGTGTTCCTGGTGGACACTCTCAACTTCTCCTTCTGGTCCGAGCAAGAGGAGCAGAAGTACCTGGTGAAGTACAAGGATAAAATCTACAGCGGCTACTGGTCCCTCTGCGCCGCCGTCAACAGGGCCCTGGACGAGGGTCAGTGAGTGCCGGGGGAGCGGGGCCGGGCCGGGGGTACCGGGGCGAGGGCGATAGAAGCCGAGCGTCGAGGGTAAAACTAAGGAGGCGCCTCGGAAGCGGGACCCGCTGTTGTGAAGTGCTGCTCGCTGTTTCGATAGCGCTGTATGTGCGGGCCGTCCCGTAGAGCTCCGGGGAGGTAACTGGAAACGCTTCTAAAACATCCTCTTAGTGAAGCTACCTAACTCGTGGCTCTGGGTTATCTCTTCCATTCGAAAGACTTCTAAGGATTGGCAGTAGTCAGCTGTGGGTGACTTCACGTATGTTCTTAGGATAAATTGTATGTTTCCATGACAAATAAAAAAACGAGGCATAAACTGAGAATCGTCTGGACTAATCTGATACCAGAGCAGCTCCAGTAAGTCTGAAAACTCATATGCCTCTAAAAATATTTTAAAGTTTTGTAGTTTAGCACTTTAGCACTCACTCTGGTTGCTGTCCTCAGAAAAGAAAAAAAAATCTGTTTGTAGGTATAAATGAAAGTTTTAATTAATTTTCTGCATGGTTGGTTGTAAATTGAGGGGGCATTAGCATTAAGACACTTTTTGTAAATGCACAACGCGATTAGGATCCAGGGGAAAACGGGCCTATGCTGACTGCTCTAGCTATGTTACTGACTATATTTGCCAGCGTGCTATGTAAACACCCTACTCAAAATACAAAGACTAAGCAGCTGGGAAAAATTATGTACAAAAAATAAGAAAGGGTCCATGGTTGCCTGCTGGAAATGGTTCTCTATAGAAGCAAGCATTGTGGCACTCACAAATTTTGTTTTGAGCAGCTCTGTGAGTGCGATTATCACTGAAAACTAAGGTGATTGTAAGAGTTGATGAGACTTTTTAGATCTTCCTGTACAGGCGCTTTCATCTGTAGCAGACCACTGTGCTAGGTCCCGGGATATGTTACGATAGCCTAAACATCTCATTTTAACTTTTCTGAAGGAATACCTATCACCAGTGCATCATATTTTGCCACCATGACGCTTGAACAACTGAGGCATGTATTTCGCTCTGACACAGAAGTGCCTATACCTTTGCTTGAAGAAAGACATCGGGTGCTGAACGAAAGTGGAATAGTTCTGTTAGAGAAGTTTGGAGGATCTTTCCTTACCTGTGTTAAAATGAGTGAGAAGAGTGCTCAGAAACTACTACATCTTATACTGGAAAATTTTCCTTCTTACAGAGATGAAGCTGTATTCGAGGTAAGCTAGTTCTAAAGCTCTGAAAACAAAATCATGCAATTTAGTAACAGTAAAAGAGTCTTGGATTGTGTGCAACTAGACAGGACAGGAGTCACTTTTTTTCCCACCAGAGGACTGCCTTTTTTTTTTCATATGCTCTCTGTCTTCATTACTTTGATGTATTATTTTTATATACTCCAGGTTCCCAGTTAGATCACGCCTCCTGTGTACTCCTTAGAAGTGGATGGTATTTGAGATAATTCCTGCCTGAAAAATCAGAATATTTTTTCCTTTCTTTTCCTTCCCTTGAATTGCAGCCAACCCTCCTCCCCCCATCTTCTTTCTTCTTTTACCTTGAAGTTTTCCACAGCTAATGAAGAAAATTAAACTGGTAGAATTAATGTACAGCTACTGGGACTCCACCCTCTAACTGTTGTTGATTCAACAGGCTTTACACAAATGACTACAGGTTAGAAGTAACTCATACTTTTATCCATGTTGACAGTACACTGAAGATTTTTGGAGCTGTTTTCCTGAAAGAAACTGATGGGAAGTAAACAGAGTCCATCTGGTATTTTCTGTCTCCCAGTTTCTCCTATACAGATCTGCATTTAGCATCTGTGACATACGTAGCTGCTCCTGTGCTCAGCTGCATGTGCAATTGTATTCAGCTGTTATATTATTAAGTCCAAAAGACTTTATTTTAGTAACAGTGCAGCCTATACTAATAGTCCGTGCAGTCGTTTTAAAGTAGCTCCTTGGAATACCAGTCACTGGAGCTTGGAACTTGTTGCATTTACTATCCTTTAGTAGGTGGCATGATTTTATTTTCCTTTGTCTCCTGCTATGAAGTAAGGTATGCTTACATGAAAAATCAGAGGTTCTTTCTATTTAATCTTTGAAGCTATTGGTTTAGTTAATTTGGGGGTTTTTTTTACATATAAAGTAATATTTTAACAATTTTTATGATCAGAAAGGAAATATTTTACACGTAAAGTGATAGAGTATTTTCTTATCTTTATAGTGACTGTATTCATTGACGTTATGTCTTTCGTGAGATGATGACGAATGCTTTATAAAGCAAGCCTCCCTAAAAGCAGCAGCAGACTACAGAATGAAAAGGTGTTCCAAAAATGACCCTAGATCGTAAGCACTGACATAGTAATAAAGCCAGTTGCATGAATATGGAAGCTATTCTTCTGCTTTCAGTAAGCAAGATCTGTATTTTAAAGGTGGTGACATGGGTCACATTTTCAACGTCATTTCTATGGCAGCAGGTTGAGGTCTCACAAGTAAGACTTTGTGTTCAGTAAAGGGTTGGAGGGAACTGGAAAGATGGTGAGATATCCAAGAGCAAACCAGTGCTTTTCAGTAACTCTACACAGTAGAAGTATACATAATTATAAAATAAATGATACATTAGAATCATACTGTCACAGACTGCTACAACTGTCCTAAGTTCTAACCTTCTAGGGGAACTTCTAAAATAAACACAATTATTTGGCTATATGTTTTTCCAAACACATACACAAAATATTTTTCAAAATTATGTGTCTAATTATAGAAATTGCCCGTGTTTGTTTCTTCTGAAAAAGGAAATGCAAACCAAAACCTAAATCTCCAAAACATTTTTTTCTCTTTGGGTGGATAGTTCATATTTAGATGGTGTGCTGCATTTGATTCCCAACAGAAGTTTAAATTTTAGACTACTTTATACTCACAGTATCAGGGGTTTTGTGTTCTGACAAAGACATAGTGGAGTCTTTTTTGATCTTCCAGTCATTGACATTTCATGTATTTATCTTTTATTTGCCATCACCTGGCACCGGGCTTGTAAAATTCTCGTGATCTTCACGTTCTTTGCTGTTTTTCTTTACTAGCTGCACTATCACATTTTGTTCTTTGCCAACACAGTACTCCTCCTTTCCTTTAATATCAGTAGGCCATAATAGATGTATCCCCTGATACTAGCACATTGTATTGGAGAGAAGACGTAAGTATCTCTGTATGTGGTAGCTTTTCCTGGAAAAGAAGGGTGTTGCAGAAAAAAAAAAAAAAAGAATCATAGTTGTATTGCCATCTTGTAAAAAGTTTGTTTTTTTCGACAAATCGTACTTTCTTTCACAGACAGAATCATAGACTGGGTAAAGTTGGAAGGGACTGCAGTGGATCATCTGGTCCAAGTTTCCTGCTCAAGCAGGGCTATCCTAAAGCACATGGCACAGGATTGCTTCCAGATGGTTCTTGAATATCCCCAGTGAGGGAGATTCCACAACCTCTCTGGGCAATCTGTTCAGTGCTCAGTCACCTGCACAATAAAGAAGTTCTTCCTCTTTGAGATGTGGTATCATCCACCTAATGCTTTCCGTGCTTTCTGTTGAAAATAATAATGGGAAAATTTACTAGAAATATTTGTAAACTGTGGTGGCAGTAAGGTGGCAGAATAAGACTGGAAATAAGTTGAGTCCTCACCTATGTGTAATTCAGGTTAACCATTCCAGTTACATATTGTTTAGCACATGTTGTCAAAAGTCAAAAATCTCATCTAGCTTTAAAGAGAGGGAAAAAATGCAACCCACTAATACTTTTTTCCTTAAAAATGCAGATGCAGTCACACATTGCATTCATCATAGTGTGAAAACCTCAATAGCTTAGAGCTCATAGCATATCATTAGTTTTTACCCTTGTCAGTAGTCACAAAAGTTTAGGACAAAAATAGAACCATGCACAGTATCTAGGAAAATATTGTATGTGTAAGTACATCTTCCACTGGAATGAATTTTCCTCTCTCCTCTGCACAACACAGAGGAGCAGTCAATAAAGTTTTCCTAGAATTTTATTGCCTTAACGTTACAGATAAATTGATTAATAAAATGTTGTAATTGTCTAATCCAACACATGCCTATTATGCTTCTCTTGTCAAATTAAAAATGCTAGAGTGTCTGAAAATTAATGTTTGCTGGACTTTCAACTCCAGTATTTGCCAAGTGGATGTATACCAACATGAATGTGTTCTGAGGTCCAAGCAGATACTAAACAATAGAATTCCACTGTGGTGAATTCTATTATGTTGTTCTTTTATTTCAGTTTATTAATGAGCATTTCATGTAATCCTTGTTTGTAGTTTGGTATTTTGTATATATTAAAGGTGTTTCAGAGTGTTGCACTTTTATTCTGTTCTAGTTAACTAATATGTTTAACCATATGATAACTATAACTACATGTTATTCACTACATTTATTGATGTTTCAGGCACTTAAATAATCCATAAATTTCTTTCTTCAGAAAAAGAAGGTGTCTTTCTACAAACGAGCACAAATACTTGTGGCTGATACATGGAGTGTATTAGAAGGCAAAGGAGATGGCTTTTTTGATGATATTTCTAGTCTAACAATATTTGCAGACTACAGAATTCCTCAAGTTCTTGTTCACTTAAAAGCAATGAAGTATTCTGAAGAATTAATGAAGAAACTACGTGAAGGTTTGTTCTGCCCTTACTAATATTAAGTAATCTTATCTCTTGGCATGGTAGACTAAAACTAGTTCTAAAATGTAATGTTAGAACTAGTAACATGTAAGGGTTATGTATATTTTTTTCCTCCAAGGAACAAGGATTTCTTAGGTAGTGATGAGGTAACAGTAAGGAACTTTTTCCCTAACAGTGATCTTGAATGAGGTTTTAAGGTTTCTTTTCTATAAAGACTTGACTGTTCTGTGGATTAAACATTGATAAGGGAGGGATTAAAGAAAACTCTAAGCTAGTTGATTTCCAAGGGCTGCTGCTACCAAAACTATCTTTCAGCATGATTTCACCAATGATTTCTTCATTAATTCAAAGGCGAATATAAAAGCATGGGAATTCCTCTTTATTTGTACTGAACTTCTAGTTAACAAGCAAAGCAATATTATAAAGGTCCATTAAAAAAATATTGCTTTAAATGAATTTAATTGCATACAACTAGAGTCTCGTTTTTTAAGCATGGTTCCAACTTCCAATACTTATTAAGCATGAACTTTAGTGAATAAAAAAAATAAGCCAATCCTTTTTCCACTTTAAAATGACTGTATTTAGAGATAGGACTGCTGTTATGCAATTGCAGAATTACTCAGCAAGATAAACAGATCAATGCAACCGTCCATGGATCTTAATAGAATGGCCATATGTATGTCTATGTGTGTATCTATATATTAAGTAGACTAGATGGACATTTTATCTTTCCGTGAATCCTAATGAGAACATTCCCATTCAGGCCATTCCAATGGTTCCCTTTACATTAGGTTTTTGGGGGGGGGTTATCTTAGAGTTACCCTGGCAGAAAATAAACTATAAAATGTAGTAACTAACTATATACTAAAAAGTATACATAATGAAAGACTATCCTTTTTGTCTCTACAAGCAAAGAAATGGTCATATGATGTGCAGTATAGCCTGTTCTGTTGCTTTAATTGAATGGGAGGTAAACTTCTAAGTGCAGATGGTAAAATTAAAGTAATCATTAGAAAATTATTGTTTACAGTTATAGTGTAAGTCATGACAACTGGATTCTAGAACAGAATAAATATGAAGGGGAAAAAAATTAGCAAATTCAGACAGTCCTTGTCTTTCTGTCTCTTGCATGTAAATGGATTGCTGTCTCTTGTGTCTACAGGAACAATTTTCCAGTCTGGAGACAAAGAGGAGGTAGAGATCCGTGGCTGTTCTATTTGGTGTTGTGCATTGATTTGTAAGCATTTGCAGGAGCTCTATCAGAAGAAGGGTCAGGACATGCGTGAAAAGATCAATGCAGTCTTACTCGATTATTATCTTTGGGACTATGCCAGGGATCACAGGGAAGACATGAAAGATATTCCATTTCACCGAGTACGGTGTATATATTACTAAATCCAGTCGGATAGCTGTTGTATTGTTGCATTATCTTTTGAACTGCAGTTTTGCTTTTCATACTGTGGTTTGTCATGCACTAATTTGGAGCTGGTTAAATCAAATGTTTGTTTTCTGGTGATGTATTAACAACTTGCTTTTTTTTTTCTTCCTTTTTTTTTCTCTTTCCTCTTAATATTTTGCTTGTCCTGACTGGAATTAACAGTGTAAACTTTGCCGGACAGCCCATGTTAATGCAGGGTTTATTATTATTTGAGCTCTGCATTTGTGTATGTACCTGCCTGTGCGTGCATATCTCGCGGTGCACCTCGCCTCCCCATGGCTGGCACCTAATGCTGGTCCATCCCCTCTCACACCGGTGTGGAGGTAGCAGGTGCTCGGCACACGTTCAGAGGTGAGAGCGGAACTGGTCCATTCATCCAATAAACACTGTGGTGACACATGTGGCACAGTGTGTGTCTGTGTTTTCACTGGTGTGGGCAGCCCCTGGGAAAACAGGGGTTGGGGGGCTTGCTCCCTGCAGGAAGGGAAGGAGGGAAAGAATCAGAAAATGATTTAGGTTGGAAAAGGCCTCTGAGATCATCAGCTCCAACCTATGACCGAACACCACTTTGTCAACGAGAAGATGGCACTAAGTGCCATGACCAGTCTTTCCTTAAACACCTCCACGGACGGTGACTCCACCACTTCCTTGGGCAGCCCACTCCAATGCTGAATCACCCCTTCTGTGAAGTTCCTCCTGATGTTCAACCTAAACCACCCCTGGTACAGCTTAAGACTGTGTCCTCTTGTCCTACTGCTAGTTGCCTCGCTGCCAGGGAGAAGAGGCCGATACCTACCTTGCTACAACACTTGAAGAAAAGTACAAAGTCAGTGTTTACAGAGCCATAGTGCTGTCTACTCTCTTATACAGATCTGAATCATGGGTCATCTACCGCCACCACCTGAGTCTCCTAGAACGCTTCCATCAACGCTGTCTCCGCACAATCCTAAACATCCACTGGTCAGATTATGTGACCAATACATCTGTTCTAGAACAAGCAGCAGTCACAAGCATTGAGGCCATGTTGCTGAGAACACAGCTGCAATGGGCAGGGCATGTCTCCAGGATGAAGGACCACCGCCTCCCTAAGATCCTGCTTTATGGTGAACTTGCCTCCGGCTGCCACAAGAGAGGAGCCCCAAAGAGAAGATACAAAGACTCCCTGAAACATCTCAGCCTTGGCCATATTGATCACCATAACTGGTCTACTCTGGCCTCCAATCGGGAAGTCTGGAGACACACCATCTATAACGCTGCTGATGCTTTTGAGAAAGCACGCAGGATCACTGTTGAGGAGAAAAGACAGCACAGAAAGAATCGTGCCTTGCAGAGTGTACCACCTGAGGAGTCTTTCTGCTGTGCCTTTTGCATCCGGACATGTCTATCTCGTATTGGCCTTTTTAGCCACCAACGCGCTTGCAACAAGCGTGGGTAGTGCCTTCCCAAATCTTCGTTCGCGAAGCCCAGCCATGAGACAGCCTCCTTCCAGGTAGTTGTAGAGAGTGATGAGGTCAGCCCTGAGCCTCCTCCAGGGTAAACACCCTCGGCTCCCTCAGCCGCTCCCGTAGGCCTTGTGCTCCAGACCCTTCACCAGCTTCGTTGCCCGTCTCTGGACACGCTCCAGCACATCAAAGTCCTTACTGAACTAAGGGGCCCCGAAGTGGGCAAGGAGGGAGGGAGCGGAGCGCTGCCACTCACCCCCATGGCGGCCCGTCCCTCCCCGCGCTCCTCCGGCCGCTGGGGGCGGTGCTGGCGCGGGCGGTGCCGACATGGCGGCTGTTGCCTAGCGAGGGGCTGTAAACAGCGCGACGGGACCGGCCCAATGCTGGTGCCGTTGGCCCGGCCGCCGCCACCGCCTTCTCTTCTCCTGCCGTCTTTCCGCACGGGTCCGGCGGCACGGCCAGACGCGGCGGCAGCCGGGGGACGGCGGGCTCCGCGGCCCTTGGCGGCTCCCGAGACCGAGACGTGATCCCGTTCCCGGCTCCTTCTCAGGTTTGGAGAAGCGGCAAAGAAGGAAAATGTTCTGGGCCGCCCGCACAATATCACGGCAGTATGTTTGCTCCTGCCTTACGGCAGCCAAGGGCAAACGATGCATCCACACCGAAGTATCTCTCTAACTTCGGCGTATTGGGAATATATCATATTCCCACATTCTTTTATAAAATAGAATCCTATGAAATAGGGTTTCCCTCCCACATATGTGCTTAAAGATGGAGATCAAAATCAGAGGAAGGCTTTACATGTAGTAACTAGATACATTTAAAATCACACTTCCTTCATAGGTAACACAACTTCTTTCTCTGTGCTTGTCGAGTTACAAGTGTTTGGTGCTTCATAAGTGGAAGAGGGTTTTAAAACTCAGGTATATACATACAACTTTTGGAGTAAAAGGTTCTGTTTGACTGATTTATGTTGCCTATGCAATACGAATGCAGGAATAGGAAAATGAGAGGATTCATTGTGTTTGCTTTATCAACAGTGTCTGTTAACGAGCTCTTAAATTATAATTGCTTCATATGGCTGTCTTATGTTCAAATAGAAAATCAGGCAACTCTCAGGCTTAAGTCTGCTAGCTTGGAAATTATTAGAGGCAAAATGTATTTATTAATATAGCTGCTTTTATATTAGGTATTTTTCAAGATTGTAATGGTGCTTACTTATACTTTAGGAAATATCAACTTTCTATTTCAGGAAAGTAATTCTTATTTATTATATAATGTGGAAAACTTTTTTTCTTAGTTTCAGACAACTGTGAATAATGTGAACAAAGCAGTAGTAACAGATTTCTTGCTGACTATCTGAACACTGAAGCACAGGGCTGAAGCCTGGCATGGAGGAGATCCCAGTTAAAGTTGCAGTCCGAGTCAGACCTCTGCTTTCCAAAGAAATACTTCATAACCACCAAGTGTGTGTCAGATTAGTCCCAAATGCGAAACAAATTATCATTGGAAAGGACCATGTCTTCACTTTTGATTTTGTATTTGGCAAAAGCTCAACCCAAGAAGAAGTTTATACTGTTTGCATTAAGCCTCTTCTGGTGTCTCTGACTGAGGGATACAATGCTACAGTGTTTGCATATGGACAGACTGGTTCTGGGAAGACTTACACCATTGGCGGTGACCACATTGGTAGGTTCTTTTTTTAAGCTGGTCAACAGTGTGTTTGTGCAAGTTAAATGTTTATTACCCAGTAGATGATGTAGCGGAATTTTAAGGGTTAATGAAAAAAGCTGTAGTAAGAAAAAAAGGTTTACAAAGTTTATGTGATTAATTAAACTGTTCTAAAGCCTTATCCATAAATTAGGCTATACCAAAAATATGTAAGAAGAAAAAAATTATAAATTGCTCTTTCACACTCCACATTTTAAAACTCAAACTAGAATTTGTTTCTGAAATGCAGTGTTTTTCAAGTTTTTTGCTGTGTTTATCTTACCTTGAAAATTCCTGCATTCGGTAGTTAATTGTTTGCTTGCTCACTCTGTGTTGGCTTTGTTTGTTTGGGTTTTTTTGAGAGACATTTCTGTGACATCAAAGAAATTTATTTAGTTGATTTAATTCTTCCGAATAGATATAAATAGATTATTCTAAATCTCTTGGTAGGTATTAAAATTTTCCTTTTATTTAGAGTCGTAGAACCACAGAATCATTTAGGTTGGAAAAAACCCATAAGACCATAAAGTCCAATCATTAACTGATCATTGCTAAGTCCACAAGCCTGTTCCAATGCTTGATCACCCTCTCCATGAAGAAATTTTTCCTAATATCCAATCTAAACCTCCCCTGGTGCACCTTGAGGCTATTTCCTCTTGTCCTGTCACTTGTTACCTGGGAGAAGAGGCTAACCTCCACCTGGCTACATCCTCCTTACAGGTGGTTTGTAGAGAGCAATAAGGTTGCCCCTGAGCCTCTTTTTCTCCCAGCTAAAAAACCCCAGCTCCCTCAACCACTCCTCACAGGACTTGTGCTCCAGACTCTTCACCAGCCTCGCTGCCTTTCTCTGGGCACGCTCCAGCACCTCAATGTCTCTCTTGAAGTGAGGGCCCCAGAACTGAACACAGAATTTGCTGTGTGGCCTCACCAGTGCCGCGTACAGAAGGACGATCCCTGGCCTGGTCCTGCTGGCCACACTATTGCTGATACAGGCCAGGATGCCATTGGCCTTCTTGGCCACCTGGGCGCTGCTGGCTCATGTTCAGCTGCTGTCGACCAGCACCCCCAGGTACTTTTCTGCCAGGCAGCTTTCCAGCTGTTCTTCCTCCAGCTTGTAGCACTGAATGGTGATGTTGTAACTCGAGGGCTTGGCCTTATTGAACCTCATACCATTGTCCTCTTTATTCTGCTTACTGTTGTAACTTCACTTATATTCCCTCCACTAGCAGTTGTTTAATGTTCCTCTAAGTAACATTGCTAGCCAAATTGTTTAGGTAGTGAGTGCCACGATCTAAAGCCATTCATAGTCCAGGAATGACAACATTTTAGTTTTATAAATATATTTACTAAATTCATAGTTAGGTGTGACCAACCCTTTAGATTTTTGGTGAAAAATATTCTGGGTATCCTCTCAGAGACAAACAGTTTCCATATTCTTGAATAAAGAACACAAATTAATAATGGAAGCATTGCCCTATGCTGAATATTTAAAAAACAAAAATAGAGTTTGGTGTTAGTGTTCCATGTCTACTTCGAAAAAATAGGAAATTACTGTAAATGTTGGTCATAAATTTTGTCTCACTAAGGTGCTGCTGATTTTTTTAAATTTCAGTAGCATTTGTAGTTTCTCAAACCCTCTAGATGTCATTGCCAACCCTAATGAGTAAGGATAAAGAAGAAATCTGTACTCTAAGGAGTGTAGGTTTAAAACGGACTCCATGTTTTTCATAACTTTCATAACTATAACGTGTAATTTAGAACTTTGAATCCTATTAATGGATGCAAACAAATATTCTGCCCCACAGAAAAAAAAATATTTACAGAAATCCTGTGCTCTTCAGATTCCTTAGAATCATAGAATCATAAAATCAGTCAGGTTGGAAAAGACCTCTGAGATCATCAAGTCAAGCCCTTGATCCAACACTGCCGTGGTTACTAGACCATGGCACCAAGTATCACATCCAGTCTCATCTTAAAAACCTCCAGGGACAGTGAATCTACCACCTCCCTGGGCAGCCCATTCCAATGTCTGATTACTCTCTCTGTAAAAAATTTCTTCCTAATATCCAACCTAAACCTCCGCTGGCACAGCTTGAGACCATGCTCTCTTGTCCTACTGCTGGTTGCCTGGGAGAAGAGACCGATGCCCACCTGGCTACAACCTCCTTTCAGGGAGTTGTAGAGAGTGATGAGGTCTCCCCTGAGCCTCCTCTTCTCCAGGCTAAACAACACCAGCTCCCTCAGCCTCTCATCATAGGACTTGTGCTCGAGAATATTCAGTAGCAAATCTCACAGACTTCTCTCAGTTTTCAGTCTTTTTAATTTATCTGACAGAATAACTGCAAGCCTCTGTGACATTTGTGCTTGTATTTTAGCATCAGTTGCAGTGGATGAAAAAGGCATAATCCCACGGGCTATTCAGGAATTATTTCAGCATATTTCTGAAAACCGTAATATTAACTTCTATGTGAAAGTATCTTATATAGAGGTTTACAAGGAAGAACTTCGAGATTTGTTGGAGCTGGAGACCTCTGTGAAAGAATTACATATCCGAGAAGATGAGAAGGGAAATACAGGTAGGATTTCAGCTCTAAAATTTGATGTGTTGGTGTATTAGGGAGGGTTCGAACCATACTGAAGCTTGAAAACCAAGACATCGTTAAAAGCTTAACAAAACCAAATATTTATTACCAAGAGGTGGCCAGCAAAACAAACAAACCCAAAAAGGAGGAAGGAGGAGAGAAATAAGCCCCCAGCACGACCTCCCCAGTTACCCAGCTGTTGCCCATAAAGTTATCTTACCGACCTAGCATACCTATAATTACCCATAGCAGAAGCTGCATCCTTGGAGAGTCAGTAAGTTCACAAACTGGCAGGTGGCCCTGCCAAAGGCAACGTTGTCTTTGGTATGAAATTAGCTCCCTCCAAGAAAGCACTATCTGCTTTTTATACAATTAATTGAGTGACCACAACCTCCCAGGTGTGGCCAGCACCGCCCAGCCCAAGGCCCTCAGTCCCACCTCCCAGTTATGTAAGTTCATCCCTTCTGCGCACGCGTGGCTTTTCCTGTGCCTGCGTACTGTACTCAGGGGGGTCTTTTCCAAATGAGTCTGGGGGCATCCTTCATCATCCTCCTCCTCAATCTCTCTGTCAAGCGACCTTGGAAGACAATTAGCCAATCGCAGAATACCAATTAAAACAGTTTATACAAGAAGCTCTCTTCAAGGACAACTTTCCGGTTTATCAGTGCTTGTTTTCCCATAACTTGGCAGGGAAAAAGCAAAGCTTTCACAGGTGGCAGGGCCAAACACAGACCAAAAGTATCAGCATAAATTCACCCTAGTAAAGTTGGTTTTCACTTGTGTGTCCAAGTTATTCTTGCCTTCTCTTGAAAATGCTAGGGAAAAAATAGTTCAAGTTTCAGAATATAACTCAGTTTAATTTATTTGAAGCAGTTTTGAGGTTAGATGCCTGTGAGTAATAGGTGGATATTCCAATATAGATGGAAATGGCAAATGATAAATATGCAATTATTGCTTCTGCAAATTCTGTCTAGAAATAGTGTGTAATTATTCACTGGAATAAGTATTTTAAGATTAAACCATTAAGAGGAGTAGATTTCTTTTTTGTAGTAGTAGATATTTTTGGAGGCTTTGAGATTGACACTCTCTAGGTATCTTGTTCACCACATGAAAATGCTAGAAGAATCCACATCAGAGATATTTTATTCTCAAACTGTTTGAGGTTAGGCTTTTGTTTGCTTGTTTATATTCTAATTGTTGTGTTTACTATTGTTATACTTGTTTTACTGAGCTGTCATGGTTTTCTTGTCTGTAGCTGGAAGAAGGCACTAATTTAGCACACATCTTGAAGACAATATAATTGCTTCAAAACGATCCCACAATACATTTTAAACTATTTCTCTTCTTCAGTACAGTTTGAGTCAGCTTCAGTAGACTGTGCTAGGACTTTTTCCATCATTAATTTAAAGAAAAATATGACAAAAAATATGCTTGGAAGGAGTATTTTGTAGAAGTACACTTCTACTTTATTAGGTTATTAACAGATACCTATCCCAAAGACCCAACTATCCAAGCTATTTAGGATAAAAATTCTGTTCTTACCACAGGCCAGGAATCATTTTTACTAAAAATCTTATTGGTTTTAGTATTTTTTTTCTTTTTTAAACTTGCAAAATATTCTTTGAGCTGACTTTGCTCATACTTTTTCCAGCTAGCACTAGACTGTGAATTGTGTAAGGCAATGTGCAATGTCTAAATGAGTTGTGTCTTGTGTCTAAGATACTGTTTCAAATACTGACACAATACATCCATATATTAAATATCTGCAGGGTTCAGACGTGTTGTACCTCATGCTTTTCACATATTGATGTCTTCTTTTTTCTGTAGCTATATGCTATGACCACCTAATAATCTAGGCTTGTATGTTTCTTTAATATTTATTTATAGTTATTCCTGTAAACTTTTGCTGAAGAGTTTAGAATTAATTGGATTATTCTTACTTTCACCTGTTTTGGTGTTTGAAGTGATCGTTGGTGCTAAAGAATTCCAAGTAGAATGTGCAGATGAAGTGATAAGCCTGCTGGAAAGTGGCAATGCGGCTCGTCGCACAGGCACAACGCAGATGAATGAGCACTCTAGTCGATCTCATGCCATTTTTACCATCAGTATTTGTCAGAAGCAATCTGCAGAGTCTCAAAAAAATACTGATGCTGCACGGGATTTGATCGCTTCGAAGTTTCATTTCGTGGATTTGGCAGGATCAGAGAGGGTAGCAAAAACTGGAAATACTGGTGAACGCTTCAAAGAGTCAATTCAGATCAACAGTGGTCTCTTAGCCTTGGGAAATGTCATCAGTGCCCTTGGAGACCCAAAAAGGAAAAGTGTACATATTCCATACAGGGATGCTAAAATCACTCGTATTCTGAAGGACTCCCTTGGAGGAAATGCCAAGACTGTTATGATAACATGTATAAGTCCATCCTCACTGGACTTTGATGAATCTTTAAATTCTCTCAAATATGCCAACAGAGCCAAAAATATTAGAAATAAACCGGTAGTAAATTACAACCCCGAAAAAGACCGCATTGATGAAATGGAACTTGAAATCAGATTACTTCGGGATGCTTTGCAGAACCAGCAGATCAGTAATCAGTATTTACATGACTTAAATGAAGAAAAAGCTCGTATCAGTTCACTCGAGGAGCAGCTCACCCGCCTTCAGGTTCAGTATTTCAGTTACAGAAATTGTGTAGATGAAGCCTTCCCCTTTCTACTTGATTTGAATGATGACGTTAGCTTAAGAAGAAGTCAGCGGGACAGGTTACAGAGGTGGATCACTATGGTACAGAAAGTAAGGAAGGAAGCTCTCACCGTCCAAGAAACTGACACAGGGACTGAGATCAGCCCAGAGCCACATCATGTCATGATTCTTCAGCTAAAGAAGGAACTAAAGAAATGCCAGGTATTTAATTATAAGTTCACTGTTTAAGTAACTAAGTGAAAAATCAATCTGCCAAAACTTTAATTCAATTTTGAAATATGTATAAAGATGTCACCTTACAATTTGACAATTTAAATTTAATTTGCAATTTTGTATCATTTTGTTTGGCTAATCTCTGGGACATAGGTTTATTTTAATGGATCATTGAATACACAGTCATCTTAATCATGACAGAGGTAAGTAAAGGTTATATTTTGGCTAATAAGTTTCAAGATGACTCTGGAACTGAGCGGTTTTATCTCTTAGATTTTTATTTTTAGCTATGCTAGTATGCTAGGTATGGCTGGGATGAAGTTAATTTTTTGTAGTAGCTCTTAGGGTGCCATGTTTTAGATTTGTAACCAATAAAATGCTGATAACACACTAATGTTTTAAGTCTTGCTAAACAGTGTTTGCACAGCAACAGGCATTCTCTGTTTCTGCCTCTGCCCCTCTAGTGAATAGATTGAGGAATTCACAAATTGTGTGGAAACACACATACAACCAAGCAGATGACCCAAACTATCTAAAGAGATATTTCATGCCATACAACATCATGCTCAGCAATAAAAAGGGAGAGTAGAATATTTAGGGAGATTAGCTGTATTTTACCTGGGAACTGGTTGAGCATCAGTCAGCCTTGGGAGGTGGTGGCCTTTGCATCATTTATTTTCTTTCACTTTCCTTCTCTCCTCCACTTCACCTTCACTTACTGAACAGTTTCTGTCTTGACCCATGAATTTTCTTGCTTTCACTCTTCCTTTGCTCTTCTTCCATCCCATTGGGGGTGGGGAAGGAAGTGAGAGAGCAGCTGTGTATGCTTAGCTACTTATTGAGGTTAACCTACAACAGTCTTTTTTGGCACCCAAACTGTGGCTGAAGGCCTTCAAGGTAATAACAGATTTGATTTGTGTGCTAGATTAAACTTCTAGGTGTTATACCTGTTAAGGTGTTATTTGAGTGACTGTTGCAGGTCATGAAGCTACATAGTTGCTTTGGGTGCTGACTTGCATGTTTCCTTGAATAATAAGATGCTTGATTCCTTTCTAGCTATACAACAGCTTCCAGGAGACATTTTCCTGCTTTGTGTGCTGTTTATCACTCTGTTTTCCTTTGCTTGGGAGACCTATGAAAAAAATACCAGCCATCAGCCTAATTTGGTATTTGGGTCTTGCACTCTGGGTGTCCCAGTACACCAAGAACCAATAACTATACTTTTCCCCTCTTCTCTGAGAGACATTTTGTGGAGAGAGGGGAAAATGACACCTATCCCTTCCTCTCCCTCAGGGCAGTTTTTTATAGCCTTGAAGCCTATAGGCTTCTAAGTTCTTTCAGTATCCTCTATAAACCAGACCATGTTTATAGTGATGTGTTGTGATCCCAATTTTGATTATTGTTCATAAGGTTAAACAGCTAATTGGGGATGCCACACAGGGACATTCTCTAAGGTGATTGATATCTGGGGTATCAGTGTGTATGGGAGGAGTTGGGAAGGTGCGCAGGGTCATTGCTGCCTCTGACAGCTTGGGATTTCGTGCCTGAACAGGCTCATTAACCCATCAAACTAACACATCATTTGAAGGAGGGGAGGTGAAACACAATGACTTGTAAAGCTGTGTTAGACCTGGCCCATGCCTTTAAAGTCACTGTCTAGTGCTCTTAGAAATGCAAGAGGTTTTCCTGATCTAAAAGACCACAAACAGGCATTGAGGAGGTCTCTTGCTCTGAGGCCACACAAACAAGACACTAAACCAGAGACTGAACCCTCAACTCTAATAGTTGCTCCTGTAGTCAAGAAAAAACAGTGGAGGCAGAGGTCAACTTAGTAAGAGAAGCAGCAGCTCCTGCTCAGAGGAGGAGAGAGAAAGAATCAGAAGAGGCAGCCTGTTCTGCAGCAGGACAGGAAAGCAAAGAAACACAAATAATAAGAGCTGGAAGCTACCCAGTCCCTATCCATGACCAAGCTTCAAGATGTGTGTAAAGATTTTGTCTGACAGCAAGAGGAGCTAATTGCTACCTGTTTGCTGGAGCAAACAGGTAGAGCTGGAGTAGTGGGGTTGACAGTCTGGAACTAGAAGATAGGGAAGCAGCAACTGGGATCCATTGCTGAGTACTGTGGGGTTGACAGAGGGATCAGAAGAGGGCAGCCACCTGCAGCCTCCAGTGGTGACTCTTATTGAGCTTTTCCTAACCTGTATTTCTTCAGCAATATTCTCACAAAAAATTCCTGTATTTTATTTTCATGACCATGCTTTAACTAACTGTGTTTCTGAACTATTTATAGATTTCTTTGTCTAATCACTTTTCTAACACTTGCTTTTGTGTTAGATATGAACTCTTGCTTTTTAGTGGCATCATACTTGTTTATGGTTTTCTAGCTGAGGTGAGAATTTCAAAACAAGATATATGAGTTTTAACATGCAGATATCCCATAAGGGTCCCGTCCTGCTGGTAGTTCTAATTAGCTGTTTCTCAGACAGCAGAAAATAATCCTAGGCAATGATCTATGGGGAGAAGAGCTCTCAGCCTTCTCTAGCATGATAATGTCTCCTCCTAGAACCGAAACATGATCAAATAAATAAATCTTTTTGGGAACATCCCCATATACATTTAGGAAGTACAAATTTTGGATATGCTGAGTTAAAATGTTGACTATGAATAACAAAATGTAAGAAATAATTCAGATTGTTGTATGATAAACAGTCTCAGATTTATTTTATAACTTAAAACAACTGTACACTAGTTGGAAACTGAGTGAAGTTCTGACATAAGATGAATGCTAGAAAAACTAATTTGAGTCTGTCGTGTAGTGGAAGGAGACAGTGCTCCAACAAGTTAGAATTTTGTAACATCAACACATTTTTAGTTTGCACACCAAACTGCCATGTCTGTAGACTGTTATCAGGCAATTGCATAAACAAATGTGGTCTTTTTTTTTGTTCTCAAGCAATCTAAGTCACAACTTTTTTCTTCTTCATTGTCTTCTGTGGCTTATTTTAACCCCCTGTTTCCATGTTCAAAACAGTGTAAGAGCTTAGCTTAAATTTCCCCAGGAGGAGATGGTTAAGGAAAGGCTAAAATAAATGAGTAACCACAGACTGTAGAGCAGTGTTTGTATATGCCAGATTTAGTAGCTAATAGTGGACCCATTCTTGTGTGCACATACCCATTTCTTTTCTAACAGTTATGATTGCGTGTATAATGCTGTCTTACACAAAATTAAAATACTGGCATTGTGAATTAGCCATAGGTAACAGCCAAACTAATTTGTGCCTCCACCAGCAGGACTCATGGAGAAAAAAATAGGAAGAACGGGAATGAGAAGGTTTGTGGGTTGACATTATGTTTCAATATTTTGTATTTGGCTTCTACACGCTTCCTGGAAGAGTAACAACATTTGGAAGTCTCCTTCAATCAGTATTGGATTATTCATTCAGACAAACACCTGAAGAAGCATTCTTACAGTTTCTTTAAGCTGTTATCTGAGTTTCAGAACAAGAACAGCTGTTCTTATTTTTTTCATTTGATGAGTGTATTAATCACAAGATGCTGAGATCTTGTAGCTGCATGTAACAGCATGCTAAGGAGAATAATTGAATTCAGATATATACTTCAGTAAAGGAGCTTTGGTTATGAGTAAATTATTCCCTTTGGAAGAATGAAACTTGTCAGAACAAAATCAATAGATGAAATGGAAGTGAAAAAATAACTGGTAGAAACTGCAGATAACCACTTAGATAATTTGCCATACATACCTCAAAACTTTGCAGTTTTGATCATGTCTTTTAACAACAAATGAGCTTTTATTTTCCAGCTTTTCCACTTTCTGCCCTTTTCCCCAGCTGAACTTTTCTTGTATTATCTAGCAGGCACTAGTTATGGATGAAGAAGTATTCAGCCAGAAGGATCGTGAAGTCCAGATACTACAGAATCAGATAAAGAAATTACTACAGGAAAATGAAGAACAACTGGAATCTTTAAAGGAGGCTCAAGAAACACATAGATTACAGGTATTTTTCCACTGATACACATGTATCTGTGTGAATGCATTCAACAAGTCCCTGGTTTTTTTTTTATTTAACTACCAGTCAATATTAGAAACATTTTGATTGAATTAGAGCTCTATCACTTAATCAGTTGGGTTCATCTAGTGGATGAACCACAATAATGTGATTCTTGAAGTCTGTACGTAAGCCTAGCTGTGCCACAACCTTCCTGTATAACCTGAGATGAATCATTCACTCTCTCCATGCCTTCCTGTTATGCTTCAGGATTTGCATTATTGTTAAGTAGTTTCAGGACAAGTAATGAATTAGAATTTGAAAGACTTTGAAAGATTCTTTAGACTCTAAAATTTACTGTAAATAACTGAAGTTGCATTGAAACTGATTTTGTTATAGCTTTATTAAGAATTAGAGTATTATTCCATTTTGAGTTTGCAAGACAGAATTCCATCCTAACTTTCTGATCATTCACTAATAGAGAAAACTGAGTGACATAATGGAAAGAGACAGTGAGAAAGAGGCTTCTTGTCTCTTTCCTTCTCTAGATCTTGTGCTTGCTAATGAAATTAAGATGGCTATCATGTGCATAACATTTTAAGATCAAGAAGACTGCAGATAGAATAGTTAACATTCTGCCGGTGTTGCCTGTCACATGGATGACAGATAAATTATTATATGACTTTTTTAAAAGAGAAAAGCATAAACATGGATAGCTAGTGCTCTTCTCCTTATTATACTTTGTCTCCTTTTTCCTCTTCTTTACTGATGGCTTGGGCATAGTCAATGACTGAAAGGTAAGTATACTAGTCATCATCTTTTTCTTTCCTCTGTCACTGTCTTTCTTTTCTGTCACCTCTGTCTAGATTTTTATTTTTAACCTGTACACCATAGTGTCAACATACACTGTGATAATGCTTATATAAATTCTGGAGGATACAAGGTAGGATACAAGAATATGTAACAGTGTAGGTAAAAGATCATGACTCTTTCAGTGTTGGAGACAGCAGAGAAGCTTGGGAGCTTTCAGGCACCATTTTGGTATTTATTTCACTAAACTGCCATTTCTATGTAAAAACAGGTAGAATAATGAAAAGCAAGTACTTTTGTCAAATATTTTAAGTTTTATTCACAGGAATATGTAGTTTAATGATACATGATAGAATAAAAACTTTAAAAGTAACAAGTATTAGGTATTAAATGTTTATAAAGATATGTATTTATGGAATGGGTGTTACACTGTGGGGTTGTATGTACAATAGTATCAGGGACAAAAATTCTTAAAAGGGTTAAATAATACCTTCTAGTCAATCAGTTAGCTGTTGCTGCTTCCAAAATGATAATAAATGTGATATTCATACATATATTCTATTTCCTATAACATAGGGATAATATGTACTGTATTCCAAAACAACGTCAATATGTAAGGCGTTGTATGTTTGTGTTTGGAAGGAACTTTCAATCTAAGAGAACAGCATAAGAATGAATAGAAACTTATACTCAAAGTAGGAGAATGCAAAATGTATCATGAGCTATTCTTCAGCTTTTTTGTTGTTGCAAGGCCAGATTTTAACCATACTTTGAAAAGAATCAAAAACAAGAGAGTGAATTGAAAATTTATATAATCTTGGCCTTGTGGATAAATTAGTTTAGATAACATAAGTACTTTTGAATGATGTACAGAGAATGCTGTAGGAGAAGCAGACAAGATCTCCAAACTATCATTACCAACAAAAGCTGAGACTTGGTGGAAGAAAAAAGCAGCAAGTCATCCTAGGACATGTACATGTTTATGTTTATTTTTACAAATAATCTTTCAAGTGGAAGTGCTCAAAGAGAAAGACGAAGCTCATATACATGTTTAATTCATAAGACTCAGACCATGAGTTGCATTTGAACATTTTTTTTGAATTCCCATTTTATTTCTCCATAAACACCCATATAAAGGAATTTCAAGCTGCTAATTACATCGTCCACCTCTCAGTAGATGCCTAGATAGGCTCATGTAACTTAACTGGGATAGGTTTTTCTAAAAAAAATGTGTCTAAAATTTATTGGAGTTGGTGTGTGAGTGGATTGATGATATGTCATAGCATTTGTAGTTTGTTACAGAATTTGCCTGTGCCCAGCAGAATAATTTAGGGTCAGTGAGTGATTTACAAGATTCATGACCTTTGTATGGAATTTAGAAATAGTGAATATGATACAGAGCTCACTTTTGCTTTGTTATTTTTTTCCCCACGAGACTGAGAAAATGGTAGAACAGCAAATGCTTATTGATCAGCTAAAAGAAAAATTAGAGAAGATTACAGATGTGAAAACTTTAGGTATCTCAAATGCTTGTGAAGATGGGTCACCATTTGCGAGGAGGCCCTACAGTGTCCCACTCACAAAAAATCTGCTACGCTCCCTTCACCCATCTTCAGGTACAGAGACCCAAAAGGTAAGGTCTGCCCAAATCTTACATTTTTGCCCCTCTACTTTGTAATGATTATGGGCCAATAATTAGACATGACATGAAAGTGGCTTTCTCAGATACTGCTTAGCTTCTCATTAAAGACTCTGAAAAATTATTTTCTTGCAACACTTGCTATGCCACAATTATCCAAAATATTCAGGCTTAAAATTCCTACTTACAAGTGCTAAGGCTCTAATATTTTCTGGTGTTTTTCTGGGGGTTTTGAGGGTTCAAATACAAAACATTAACAAAAATGAATTATTATTTTTACAACTGTATTGAATATGTGGAATAACGAGTTTCTAACAGTGCCTGCTTTCACATTTGAAGCTCTTGAAAAACCATTTGTTACAAAGGTATTCAGAGTTATTAGCGAAAACTTCTAATTTTGCTTACAAGCTCAGGTGATGTCAGAATTTTAAATTGAAATATTTTTTTAAAATATCAGTAAAGAATTGCTAAATTGTTGCAGCTGTTTTTACCCATTACTATTTTTGTGTGCTCTCTGGCAGGTGTATACCAGCCCCTGTGCCTTCTCCCTGGACAGGATAATGGCAGAATTCCATGCTCGCAGACAGATGATACTGAGCAAGATAGAAGATCAGGATAAAGTCCTTCACTGCCACCTCTCTGATCAGAGTGATGAAGAGGAAGAAAATACAGGCAGCAAAGACAAAACCTCATTTAAGTAATTTTTTGTTCTATAACTTTTGTTACAGACAAATGCATAGGTATAAAGGTAGAATTACTGCCTAATCCTGCCATGATATGAGACTATCTGTAATGTTACTTATGGTAAACTTGTGGGACCAACTGGGCATATTGCAGAATAAGTTTGATAAACATAGGTTTAACAAAGATTGCATAATCCTTGGTTTGGGGCCAGAATCTGCCATGAATATCGGGGGTGATGTGGAGCATAGATGGGAAAGAAGGTACAAATGCTGTGGTAAGTTTGGGATTCTTTTCTGTTAGAATCATAAGATTTGCGCGAAGCAAATTATATCCCTGATTATATATTTGCAGTTTAGCATGTTTATCGTTCTTCCTTAGGCATTCCATAAACCAAACATGGACACAAAATCAGGCTTCTCTGTGCACTCTTCCTGATCTAAGTGACATGAAATGTCAAATAAACAAGTCTGGTTTATCCAACAAATTTGTGCTACAGATTGACACAGCCACAGGTAAAATGGAAGTCATAAGAGCAAATCTTATTACAGTATCAGCATATGCAAGAGTGTCTTTAGCACATGTAACTATTTTTCCCAGCAAAATGTGTGTATTTGATACGAATATTTTTTTAGTTACAGCTCAATGTAGGCTTTCAAGATGCTATTCTTCTTTCCCTTTCTGAAACTGATGTCAGTAGCCTTAGTGTTTAAGTAATATTTGTTATCCAGAAAGCTAGTTAGATATAATCCTTAGTACTTCTTCAGTGAAACAAAATGGATTCTCTTATCTTACCAGAAATGCACTGAAATGTTTTCAGGAATATTTTTCCTCATACTTAGAATCTTGAAATGCAAGTGCATACATTTCTTTTCCTGTTTAGACGCATAGTAGGGAAAAGACTCTTGGTGCTATTCTCTCCTTTTGATTATTTTACTTCATGTGGAAGCACTCCACACAGACAGTGTTCCAGAGCACTACCTTTTTGGGTACAGCATGCATTCCAGATTTTTTATCTCCATTTTGCTTTGTTTTTTTCAAGGTGAAAAGATTGACAGCCTCCAGAAAATTCATGTTTTTAACATGCAGAAGTTGAAGATTTCAGAGTTGAGATTCACTGAGACTGAGCAAAAAATAAGAGAACTTGCACTTAATATCAAAAGGAAAGAGGAACTTATTAAGGAATTAGTAAGAACAGGTAACTGGCTACTATAGGGATAACTGGAGTGAAGATATTCAGAAAAAAAAGAAAAGCCACAAAAAACCTGAAGTCCTGCATGTCTTAGTTTTTACATAGCTACCTTACACAAGAATACTTTTAACAATTTAAATTTATAACTTTTGCTGATTACTTGCTATAATTGCACTGAAGGCTGTAAATTTTGATTACAGCCTACTCTGCTATGATATGCAGATGTATTGTTAAATAATTTTTGTACTTTGTTGATTGTTGCTCTTATCCAACAATAATGTAATTTTTCATGTAAGCTCAGTGCTACTGATCTCTTCATGGACATGTATTTGTCATATGGTGTCTGGGATAGGAGACAAGATACATCCCTGTATCTTCTGTGTTTTAGCACAGTAGAGAAACAGGAGTTGGAAGTGGATGAGGGAAAAGGTCAGTGTCCCTGTTAGCCTACATCCCTTACACATCTGTCCTGATACAGAAACTAGCCTTATGGTGACAGTAAGGATCTCTCTGCTCAGCTCCTTCAATCACACTCCTCTCCTATGCTTACCTTCTCTTAAGGTTGCCTTTTGGCACTGAGGAAGATTCTGTGCCCCACCACCAATTGCCCAAACAGGACAAGTCACGGAGTAGAAACACTATCCAAGGCTTTTTCCTAATTATTAAGCTTAAAGCTGAGTAATAAATAAATGGCATATTATTCTGGAAAAAAAAACCCAAACAAATTTATGAAATACAGGGAGCCATTTTGGCAAACACTACAATAGGCAGAAGAATTTAACTTTGGCAGTCAGGTGGCATTTGGTGACATCAGGTGACTTGTGAAAAATTCATCATATATAGGACTCCTTCCTTTATGTCCATTTCAGAGTTACAAGGGAACTGAATCACAAATTACTGATTTAGCCAGAACAAAGTAAGTAATGATTCAACTACAAAATTGAGTATTACATTTCGACTGATTATTATGCTGTCTTTAAGGTAAGGATGCTCAGTCTGTAAGTAGGCAATATTCTTTGAAGATAACTAAACTGGAGCAAGAAACTGAACAGGCCAAAATGGAACTGGCTGAAACACAAAAGCAGCTTCAGGAGCTGGACAGTAAAGAGGTGAGAGATGTTCCTGAGAAAGTCAAGTTACAAAAAGAGTTCCGGAAGAAGATGGATGCAGCTAAGTTGAAAGTGCAGGTATTTCTGGTCTGACTATTAAGGGTTGCAAATCTCTGTCTCCCTGTCATATCTGAACCTTAACACTCTGCTTGTAAAATTCTCACCTGTTTTACACTTTAGAAGTTGGCTGGATTGAAGTAGCTAATGAGAAACTTAATACTATTATACTCAGAATGCTATTTAACATATACATGGTTAGATACATACAATATTTTCTTGGTAGGTAAGAAGCCAAAAAAGAAGTGGGAGATATAGGATGTTCGTATACCGTTGTATGTAGTATCATAAAAGAACCTATACAAGGAGACTATTACAAGTTTATTACCTGCCATAAAATCAATGTTTTATGAAAATACTATATAAATTCCAGCTCTAAGCAAATTCATCTGATAGTTTGCAAGACCAGGTCCAGTACAGTCATATTTGTTTGACACTGACCTTCTGTTTTTAAGTTCTGCTACACCTAAGTTTAAATTCTGTATAGGGCCAGCTTAGGTGCTCTGTGCCTCTCGATCCTAGAATGGTGGGTCAGAAAAGTTCCATGCGGAAAAAGGTAGTTGGCTTATTGGCTTGAGCTCAGAACCAGCATTCTGTCACCATTATGTCTCTGCACATTTTCTAGAGCTGTTAGATTTCACTACTTTCACTGTTTTGCCGGGCATGAACTGTATTTTACCTTTTTTCTGCCTGTGCGACTTTACCAGATAGCTCAGAAACCACAGGAATATCAGGTGATTGTTTGGGCAGAAGTTAGTAAGTCTTGCTGACTCTAAGAATTCAGTGAAATAAAGAATGAAGTTGAGTCTTAGTTATAAGTTTTTCTGGTATTAACTGAAATGTGACATGAATATTCAGGCCTTACAGAAGAAGCAGCAAGACACTAAGAATCTGGCTTCCTTATCTAACCAAAGTGAGAGAGAAGCAACGGAACTTGAGCAGAACGTGGCTCAGATGAAGGATCAGCAATCCCAGATACAGAAGAGACTGTATGAGGAGAGTGAAAAAAAGAAGCAACTAGAAGCAGAACTTCAGCAGGACCAGCAACAAATTAAGGTAGGATTTTTCCTGTTTCTTTATGACAAAGAATTAGATGCCCCTGCTTCCTCAAAGACAATAAACTATACTGCCAGGGTTTCCATAATTTTCAGTAATGACTTAATAACTTTCTGGATAAATGCACTCAAGAAATTGTGTGTAAACATTTTCACATAAATCTTCAGTTTGCCTTTCTCTTTCAGCTTTTTTTTTTTTTTCATTTTATTACATGATGTCTAGTTCTAAATTGCAATTTTACAGGTAAATTTAGGGTCAGTATTTCAGATTATATACTTGTGTGAACTCTGACATTAAATGCATTTTGACTGACTGATGCAGGAAGAATGGTGCTTTTTGTTTGTTCATAGGAATTTCAACTTAAGATGGAGCAACAACAGAAGATCCTTGAACTGAAGGATAAAGAAATTGCTGCTTTCAACAAGAAGAAAAATAACTCTGTGGGAACTCCACATAAACTACAGGTGTAGTTAATCTATTCCAAATCTGATAAAAAAAAAATTTTCATCCCTAGTCATATATCTTTGTGAACTGTTTGGAAAAAGAGTGTTCCATCATAGTTCTGTCTTCTTTTTTGCTGTAGCAAAAAATGGCAATATAGTCTAGCAGCTCTTTTACTCTTTTTCAATGAAAGAAAGAAAGGAGGGCCTTTAAAGTTTTTTTCCCTACAGTTTGTCAGAAATGCTGATTCAGAGACCCAAGAGTTCAACAGGTTTGGTTTTCTAGTAGGTTTGAGGGTGATCTTGTTGTGCAATGTTATAAATGTTCCATGGGTTGTTTGGGGATTTTATTTGGTTTGGTTTTCTACTCTGACATAAATTACTGTGGTCTCTGCTTTTGGTTGTTCATAACAGGGTTAGAAAAGTATGCGTTCTATGCAGTGGTGCCACCTACATTATTTCAATGTGGACACTGGAACCTGAGTTACCTAAAGTCTTTAAAGGCTAAAAGAAGTTTTAAAAGTTAAATAAATGCAACTGTTAAGCCCTGATAAACTGTGGCTTCAGAATAAATTTGTAATGGACTACGCTAGCTGGATCAGAGATGCCATTTACTGTCTTTAATTCTTTCAACATCACAGTTTCTTGTCTCCTAATGTTTTTTCCACAAAGAGCCGTTCTTGGGCAACTATAATGCAATGATGATGGGCTAGCTGAATTCTCATGGTACCTTCTAAACCTAGTTGCTGTGCTTAGGTAGATGACATCTATTTATATAACTGTTCTTAGAAAAAGAATATCTTTCACTTAAATGCATCTGATACAAATTTGTTTGTATGAGATATAGCAATATAACATTGCTGAGCCCCTTGTTAAGTTAGTCCAGTTTCTGTATTATTTTTAGCCAAGATATTGTTGCAGAATTAAAGTTAACATTAGAAATGTCAATGTCTGCTACAGTTTTATCAGTAATTATAAAAAAGATAAACATTATAATAGAATTCTGACCCAAAAAGTCCTGGCTAATGCTCTCTGGATCTGTATTGAAACTTTAGAAATTAGAAGAGCAAAAGAAGTGGTTGGATGAAGAAATGGAAAGAATTCTTCAACAACACCAACAGTTAGCAGAACTAGAAGAAGATTTAAAGAAAAGAGAAGCCATTGTAGCCAAAAAAGAAGCATTATTGCAAGAGAAAAGCCACCTGGAAATCAAGAAATTGAGATCTAGCCAGGTAATTTAAGAAAATTAAGGCTGACTGAAAGACTGGGGATGGGGTGAGGGGGCAGGGAACACAGACAAGATAGCAGAGGAGGCTCAAGCCAAGTGTCTTTAAAGGTGATGTAGGTACTGGGTGGCTTGACCAATCAACATTTAAAATGTAAATAACTCAGACAATCATTTTTATTCACGTTTTCTCTCCAAAATTGCAAACCAAACCAAACCAAACAGTTCTGAACTGTGGAGTTCTGTTAATGCAGAGCATTAACTAATATGAGATATCCATGATATCATATTATTTATGAATAAGACTCAGTCCTTTTGCAAACTAGAGAACATGACAGGGAAATATCTTGCAATATTTGTTTTTCAGTAGCAAAAGTGAATTGAGCTTGAAGTATCATTGTCACTTATAATGACTAGTCCCTTTAGTATGTAGAAAACTGCACCTTGAGTGTTTTTGTTTTCTTTCATCTTTTGTATATCTTATGGTAGCTGTCTGCGCAAAATAAATGGGGTTCCATTGCAAGAAGCAAGCAATTTTTTCACTTCAGAATGTGACAGTTTCACCTACTTTTTTCTTACTCAAAGGGAGTATCTCAGTCTTATATCTGTGGTTGCTGTGGTTTTTTTTAGGCCTTAAACAAAGATAGTGTGAAATTGTCTGCTCGCTTAAGTATACTGGATCAGGAGCTGTGTGATAAAAGTATGCAGCTTCAGGGCAGCACCACTGAAGACAAGACAGACATTTTGGAAAAAATTCAGGTTCTCCACATGGAAAGGGATCAGCTGCTCAGAAGGAGAAATAGTGTGGATGAGAAACTGAGAGAAAATAAAGTGTTGTCAACTGAAGTAAGTAAGCACCTCTGAGAGATAAATATAGATTTTAGCTAGTGTTAGATAATAATGTCTCCAAATATTAGAAAAGCTAGAACTAAGGAACTGAGGTTGTGTATTTTTGTAAATAGCAGTGTTAGAATACTGCTGTGATAGCACCAATTACATGCTGGTAATGAAGTTGAAGTTCAGAGGGACTTAATTCAGTGCCTTGCCAAGTCTACTGGTCTAAGAATCATACAATGAGAATAAGGGAACTAGAAGTTCATCAGTTTATCACAGGCAGATATTTTAATGTCATGACACAGAACAAGCAATGTGCTCACATAATAACATCCCCTGAATATTTTCATAGGATTTTGTGGAATAACAAACTTCACCTGAAGGACTCTGTATTTTCACAGCAAAAATAAGTCATATTACCTAGATGGCCCACACTTGAGTTGATTGAAATCATTATGTTGAAGATGTAATAAATCTGCAGTGCTTCAGGCCACACATTTCTGCCACTTCCCTACACAAGTTTTGGTCACCAAACTCCTTATTGACCTGTAAAAACTAGCACAACCAAAAAAAAAAAATAGCAGAAGTCAACTATTGTGAGGATGAGGAAAGGATAAAAAAGGAAACATGACTTCTGGTTTTCATCTGATCAATCTCTGTATCACGCTAGAAGTACTATGGCAGGGAAAAGACAGATGTCCTAGATATGCACTCTACCTCTTGTTTTTCCTGTTCCATTGTCTGTGCTACTACTACTACTACTTCTCATCCTTTAGTTTTGCTCTTGAGAGTGAAGTTAAAGATGTCTTGAAAGATTAATTCTAAGCTTTTTTTCTTAAAAAAAGTTTCGCTCATGTGTTTCTCTGTAGGAAGAACATGTCCTTTTCCAGCTAGAAGAAGGAATTGAAGCTCTGGAGGCTGCTATTGATTACAAGAATGAAAGTATTTATAATCGCCAGCACTTGCTTAGGTCATCTTCTCAGAGTCTTTCACAGAGTGAGAATAATGTATTAGCAAAACTAGTTTCCCTGTCTGCTGCTGAGCTCAGAGCTATTATCATCAATTATTTCAACAAGGTTTGTTTTGGCTAATGAATAATATTTTATTCCATTTTATATTACTGTTCTAGATAATGAAATGGTAGCAAGAAGTAAAAATAAATTTAGGAAACTTTTGGTGAAAATCTCTTCAGGTTACATAGATCTGCTATTAATTCACATATTTTAGTTTTTATGTTAACCTAAATAATATACTTGTGTGTTAACTTTGTATATCTTGTTTTGAGGTCATTGGCTTGAAAGGTGCTGCAGATATGGATATTTCCTTCCTCCTTTCCAGTGCTCTGTTTTGCTAACTTTCAGAGCAGCAGCATATTTAAATAGTGGTGTTGTATTGAAATTCTTCCTGACTGCAGGCTTTCAAGAAAGCTTCATAAAGCTCAGGCTAATATTTCTACTTTTTTTTTCTAAATTCAGTATGAACTAGTTTTGCATTAGTTGCCTGCAATGTGTACAGCTACATGCTGAAGAATTATACTGATATCTGGAAACATAAAAGTGAAATGCATTAGAATATGGTGTGTCTTTGTAACTTTGGATGATTTTGTAAACGAGTTGTCTGCAGGATGCAAGTTGGAAGTTTTTCAGAATCAGGAAGCCACTGTTGTTTCAGTTTAAATTTTGTACAGAGTATTAAAAAATCCACTAGTCCATGTGATCAAAAGGTACACAGTTCAGTTCTAAAGTGTCAGCTGGTAGCAATGGCAAGTCTGTTTCCAGAATAAGCCTAATGGCTTGTAGAGATCATTGGTTTTGTATGTTTTAATCTATTATGCTGAAGGGTAAAAGGTTTTCTTAAAATGCTTTGATAAATCAAAATAAGTGTATTTCTTTCTTAGATTGTTGGCCTACGTGAGTCTGAACGAAAATTACAACTGCAGATTGAAGAACAGGAAATGAAGGCTATGGACCGGGAAAACATAATACGTGAATTAGAATCAGCACTTGGACACATGAAGTTGCAGTGTGACAGGCAGCTCACCCTCCAGCGCAAAGAACACCAGAAAAAAATACAGTTGATATTGCATCATTTGAAAGGTATCTGCTGCTTGGAATGGATCGTACAGCAAGTATTGTCTTCAGTCACTACAGAGAAATACTGTATTCCAACTGAAAAAATAAAAGAATAAGGTTCAGAGATATATTTTGGCTGTCACTAATTCTCATGTCATGTACGATGCCAAGGAACAGACACATGGTGTCTGCATGAGAGGAAGATTATATCTTTTTTAAAGAAGTATCAGAATTGTTGTATTTTCCTACTGAATTTACTGATATTGGAAAGTTGAAATATACTGCTCCTGCTGATCTTGATCTTCCAAATACTATTAAAACTGACAAGCAGGGTTGACATGGCCTTTTCAATCCTGTGTCATGCTAGTTAAGATGTGCACATTGCAAGCAAAGTGCCATCAAGATACAAGACATACTCTGTCTAGCTGGGCATCTTGATTTCTGACATTTGGTTCTTAAACTAGTTTTATTTCTTCTAGAACAAGAGAGTGAAGGTATTGCAGAAACCTTGGAAGGGTATGAAGTAAAAGTCCAGCAACTGGAAAAGGAATTATTTTTCTATAAGAAAACCAGCAGAGAGCTGAAGAAGAAATTGAAGCGCCTCTTTGGAGAGACATCTCATCAAATATTGCCATCCAGTAAATGTGAGCATATTATCTGAAACTGTTTATGCAATGGTCAGTAGACCATTTGAAGCATCTACAACCTCAAATTATTATGGTTAACACAAAGAAATTTTGCTATCTGAAAGGGTCTGAATGGTATTAAACTAACAGCTTTGTTATATGTCATGCACTTGATTTCTTAAAAGTTACTGCGAGATTGTCAATGAAAAATTCCATGCTTTTAGTTACTAACTAGTTACTTACATACTAAGGCTGAAAGAGAGGATTTACATACTTGTAGGGAAAAAAAAGTGCTTTCTAATGTGATTCTGTGCTTTTACATAAAAAATCCTCAACCAACTCAAAAAACCCAAAAAACACCAACAGCCAACAGTTGCTATAAGTTTTTAATTGTTCTATGTCCTACTTGCCAGAATCCAAACCTACAACAGAGCTATTCACATGGAGCAGAAAAGAAGGTTCAATTTCATCGCTATTTCAGTTGCCTCATACCTCTCGATGACACCACAATACCTAACATACACAATACAGCCTTCTTGGCCCCATGTTTCTCTTTGAGGCTCAGCAAGACCGGTTCTTCCTCCAGCAGATGCTTCCGTTTCTTTCCACCCTGACAATGCTGTGCCTTCTACAAAGAAATGCCAACCACTTCCCTGCTACTCCCAGAGTGAAGTAAGGCTTGGCTCTTGCCCTCTGGACAGGATAATGAGCCAACACATTCATTACCATAAAGTACACCATCAAACTGTGAACATGAATATTCCAGAGACTGGATTATACATGAGCATGGGAAAGAAGCATGTAGTTAAGGACAAAGTATCCATGTCCTGAATATTCATAGGGAAACACCTATCCTAGGCAAATTGTAGCAATGGAAAGAAGGGAGAAGATGCCTGTGAATATCCACATTTTTCAAATGCATATACTTGCAAGTTTTTTAATAAATACTCTGCATTTAGTTATTTTTCTTTTTAATACAGTGTGAGGCATGTTGCTATATAATGTAATAAAAACACTTTATAATTTGTTACTGAGCTTTAGAAATAATAAAATCCCTTTGTGTATATTGCAGTCAAATTTGCAGAATGTGTTTTGTGTATGGTATTAGTATAATTGCTGACTGTTTTCCAATGTATGAATAATTTCATTTTTGTCATGGTTCAGTTGTTTCAAGACTGCCTACTAGGATACATTACAAGTTAGTATGGTGAGGCTTTTATTAATAGCACCTTCTCAGATGAGAGTAATGGCTAATTCCTCTGACGTTTTTGTAGATGGTGAACTCTTTGAACGGGAAGGACAAAATGTGAGGTGCTGATAATTTCTTACCATGTTCATACTACAAGTTACTGATGCTGTAAAACCATATTGACTACCTATGGGAGGCGCTCAGAAGAGTTGTAACTTTCAGCTATTTATCTCCTGATAAATTTCATTTTAGGTAACAGTGCTGGTCAAGAGGAAGCAGAAATTGCTTCTGAAGATTTCAAGTGAAAACAGCTATTAAAGTTCATATATTTATTAACTACAAGTAAAAGTACTTCTTTGAAGCATCAGAAAGCTCCCAATCTGTCAACCTGCTCAGTGTACTTTAAGCGATGAACAAAAATAGTAATAAACTAATTTAAAATAATTCTATGCGTCTTTACTGGATTTTGTTACAACATCAATTCCTCATTGAAATTTTTTTGGGTTTTGCTTTAGATACTATCTAGACGCTGCTATAATGGACTGAAAATAGGGAGAGACATTTTCTCTAGCTGGTCTGGTGTATAGGAATACCATGTAATTATTAACAAACAAACCTTTTTTTTTAGCATATGGTGAATCTGATTTCCAATTTCAGCTATATGTGGGAGCCCAAACCCAGCTTTTAGCAAAAGAAAACAAGGGCTGACAAACACCTCATGGTCTGAAGGAGCTGGACCCTTCTCACAAGACCTGTTAAAGTTCTACCTTATGGATTAAGCTTGGCTCCAGCAGAAATCAGAAAGGACTCTTGAGATGATTGTATCAGACCATGTCTAAACCCCTTTAAACCCTTTCCCCCTATGTAATCTTGGTTAAGGGAAATATTTAACCCATTGGGTGACGGTAGTAAAAACTTGTGTAATTCCCTAATTAACATAGCTCGTCCTCTTCATTAACATGTCCAGCCCCAGATGCCTTTAAAATAGTGTTTTCATGTTCAGTAAATTATTCCAGTTTCCCCATAGTGGGATCGTGCCTAGCTTTCGTTTTTCAGACCGCCACTAATGTCGCCACAACCGGGGGCTGAGAACCTTCTAACATTTAGAAGATTCGTCGGCCATCGGCTGGCTGGATCGAGGGAAGCAGCACTCCTTGTGTTTCGGTGGTGTGTGCGTAGTCAGAACTGAAAGAAAGTGGAAGACGTGCACGGAAACTTGTCCTCAGCAGGCGGGAACTGCTGAGTGAGCTGACTACGAACTCCAGGTTGCGTAATTATTTTAAAGACTTCGTAACATTATAAGTAGGGTACAATGGGGACTCAAATATCTTCTGAACAAAACCATATTTATTTAATTTTAAAACGCGAGCTTAAGCAGCATAGCGCGAAAATTGACGAACAGCCCTTGCAGAACCTGTTGCTGTGGGCCCAGCGTCACATGTCAGAACTGAACGTTACCGACCTTCTTGATACGTGCTTGTGGGACTCGGCAACCGCCCGAAAAAACCTCAGCAGTCGCTGCCCGGGACGGGCCCCAGCCCCTGAGCGGAGCGCACAAGCACACTGCAGCCCGACACACGCTGCCCGGAGAGAGCCGTGTGAGACAGAACCACGGCCACCGCCGCTGCAGCCACCCTGTGCAGGGTCGGGGTGGGAGCCAGCGCCAGCGAACTGCCGCGCTGCCTCGGCAAGTTCCTGTATCGCCGCCCGCTACCGCTCTCAGCAGCAGCAGCCAAGCAGCGGCCAGAGGCGCGAGGTCAACACCCTGGAGCAGGTCCCTGAGGAAGGGCCGCCACCTCCGGCGCCTCAGCAAACAACGAGATCGAGAGACCCGCGCCGGCGGAAGCAGCAGCGGGACCCGAGCGGGAACCACTCAGAAGGCAGGAAGGACCCGGAACCCGGAAACACACAAACGAAAGAGGCACCGCGAAAAACAAACACAAGCAGAACAGGAGGTATGCAAAAACCGGGGCTATGGAGCGTGGGCGGCGGGAAGGATCCCACGGAGTGCCCGGGGGGCTCCGGGAAAGGTCCGAGGGAGGAAAAAGCCCAAGCGGGACCGTCGGCGAAGGAGGGAGCGAGCGGAAGCCCAGCGGCAACAGCACGAGAGAAACCCGGGAACAGGGACCCCAGAGACAAACGGAGTGGTGCAGACACAAAGCTGCCGACTTCAGCAGTAGTCAAAGCAGCAAAAACCCCCTTCCTTGATTTTTTTCCTTTTTCTTTGCAGCCTAAACTAAGAACTGGTCTTTTTTTGCAAACCCTTTTGTTTATCAACCTCTTTCAGTTTAACAGTGTGAGTAAGGCGAACAAAACGCTACCAATGGAGAGACTGTCCTCCTCCGCAAAACAAACAAACAAACAAAAAAAAGAAAGAAAGAAAAAAAAGGGGGAAAGCGAAGGAAGCAAAGAACCTTTGCTGAATGAAGACACCCTTCCATAGCTAATAGCCAGAATTGTTTTTAAATGTATGCATAGCTGCATTTTTGAAAATTTTAAAGTTCTTTCAATAACAATTTTCTTTAAGTCCAAAAGCCAAATTAACACAGAAAGACATATATTTGCCTTAAAAATAGAAGAAGTATATATTTTATCCTTGAACTATAGGAATGTTTATATGTATTTGAAATTTAAATTGAACATGAAGTAAAATATGCTTATGTTTTTACAGGTTATACTATCATAAAAAACAGAAAACATATATTACTAATCTAAGGGTGAGAAACAAAAAATGCCAATTTCTCAGTTCATAACCAAAAGACACTGTAAAATGAAAGCCAAAGGTAAGTTTGTATGATGTTTGTTCGATGGCCATCGAGTATGAATGTGTGAATGTACGCACGCGTGTGAAAATACAATAATTAATATGTTCTGATTTATACACAAATGCGCATTACCTCACATGTGCACAAACACCCTTAGATAAAAAACAGAAAACATATCACCCTGAGTTGAATAGAATTTCATTTGCAGAGATGTTTTAGGTTAAATAAAAGTTTTCAAAAACAAACACTAAAAAACTTTCAGGTAAAAGTCAGGAGCACACGAACCCTGAAGTCATCAAGTTATTAAGTTTGGTTCAAAATCAATTGCTTATAAGTCAATAGGATCTTTAGAGGATAGCTTCAATAAGATTTTATAAGAGTAATTTCTAATAAGAAATAATGGAAATAAGTTGTTTAAACAAGTTTTGTATTAATCCAGGTTTATTTAGTTTAACATTGAATTTTTCCTTCTTGCATTTTGTTCCTTGTTTACTTTTCTATATCTAAAAATGTTTGATAGTCTTTTTGATTGGTTAAATGTTCTTAATGTTAGTGCTAAGTTTAAGGAAATAATTTTTGTAGCAATATGCAGAATACCTTAAAACAGCTATGATTCCTTCACATGCTTTTATAATGCCAAACCTTGTGGCCCAAACTATTCTGACACACGATGCCTTTGCATAATCATACTTTCCATCTCAGGTATATAAAAGACTGTACATTTCCTTGAAAAAGGAGCCTCCTTGCTAACATTAATTTCACTTGTGGTATTAAAAGTAAGACTGCAATATTTCTTGTTAGATCCATTTAAGAATACATTTGCTTCTAAAATGCAGCTATAGAATTTGTTATTACTCACTCTGAACTAATGCATCAAAGCATTGATAAGTTGAAGAAAAAAAACAGTAATCAAAGCTTAGATTACATGTTTAGTTAGCATGATAAATTTAATACTCTCGTTAAAGAAAACATTTATGGTAATATTTGCATTCCTTTGTATTTTGTCTTGCATTAGCAAACGTTTGATCAAAGTTTTTTCCAAGTTTTTTGTTTTTTTAAAAAAATAAAAAAAAAGGGCAGATGTGGGAGCCCAAGCCCAGCTTTTAGCAAAAGAAAACAAGGGCTGACAAACACCTCATGGTCTGAAGGAGTTGGACCCTTCTCACAAGACCTGTTAAAGTTCTACCTTATGGATTAAGCTTGGCTCCAGCAGAAATCAGAAAGGACTCTTGAGATGATTGTATCAGACCATGTCTAAACCCCTTTAAACCCTTTCCCCCTATGTAATCTTGGTTAAGGGAAATATTTAACCCATTGGGTGACGGTAGTAAAAACTTGTGTAATTCCCTAATTAACATAGCTCGTCCTCTTCATTAACATGTCCAGCCCCAGATGCCTTTAAAATAGTGTTTTCATGTTCAGTAAATTATTCCAGTTTCCCCATACTGGGATTGTGTCTAGCTTTTATTTTTCAGACCACCACTGCTATACGTAATAGGAGAAGATACAACAAAATGCAGGACTCCATTCTTGTTACACTGCAGCTTTAAAAGAACTTCTCTTAAACATGACAAAATATTGATTTTTTAACCACTTCAACATTGGACTGAATCTACAAAAACTCCTAGCAATGTGTAGCTCATAAATGCAAGGAAAGATGAGTAGAATTTAAAAATAAATAGGTTGGAGATAGGTGGTTGGTAACAATGGTTTGTGGGTGCCCCATCCCTGGAAGTATTCAAGGTCAGGTTGAACAGGGCTTTGAGCAACCTAACCTAGTGAAAGATGTCCCTGCCCATGGCAGGGGGCTAGACTTACATGTTGGAAGGTCCCTTCTGACCCAAACTATTCTATGATTCTAAGATTCTATTATCTGTATCCTGTTCATACCTACATGAGTTTCAGCTGCGAAATGTAGGCACTGACATGTACAAATACCATGGCTAAAGAGCTTCCATACCTGTTAGGTTTGGAAAGTGCCCCATATTGTTCTTCAGAGCTTGCCTAGTAATAAACAATTCCTTTTGTGCTAAAAAGACTAAGCTCAAATGTTTCTTTTGTCCCATGTTAACTGTGAATGCAATATGCTATAGAAATGCAGAATTGTTTGTGTAGCACTGAATGCAGTGTTAAATCCTGGTATTTTACATATTTGGGGATAGTTCTTGAAGTGGAACATTGCAGAAATACAATGGCTGACTAGAGACAGATTAGAAAATCTCTGACCCAGGGAACAAGCAGAAAACACAGAAGTTGGAGGGAAGGAACCAGAGAAGAGACTAAGGAAGAAACAAAGCAAAATACCTGTACGTCTAAAACCTACCTTTTTGTTGTTGTTGTTGTTTGTTTTCTTTGAAAATAATTTGCAAATACCATATCTTCAGGATGTACTAACACCACTTTTCAGAACTGCGAACCCTGTAACCACACAGCATAGGGTGTGCATAATCTTATCCTGACAGATAGAACACTACTGGGTGAAATGAACTAATCTGTTTTGTTACCAGTCTGATTCAAACTAAAACCCCTTTATTTGGGGAGGTGTGTTTTCATTATCTGCTGTCCCACAGGAAATATTTATCAAGAGTTACAAGACCGAGACTTTTTTCTAATCAAATCATTGGTGCCCATAACTTTGAGATGTGACTTCTTTTCCAACGTATTTGTATTTGTAAGCAA